GTCGGGAGTTTTATCATTCTTAAATCGACCGTTCAAAATATGTTTACTCCAGGAGCTCCTTGCATCGAAAACTGATACATTTCAATAAGACAGATAGAAAAGGTCAGAAAGGCGAGGCTGACTAGCGTACTTGTTAGCATACCCGATCGGTAATAGGGAGGCCCGGTGTTCAAATCCCGGTTCCCGCCAAAGGTTTTGTCTTTCGGCGGCTTCGTAGCATTAATGTAATTCGGCGCGGCATGGTAGTGAATTAAGATTTTCGCGAATTTAAATAAGCTTACATCAACGAAACCACGCGGCTGTCATGACTGCAAATGCGTTACTTGAATAAGTCAAGTAATACTTGCAGCCATAACAATCGCAATTATCTTCTTTTTTTAACACATTAACCTTTTTGAGAGCAAGTGCCAGTTGACTGACTTCCCTTGAATTTCCGAGAAAACAACATCAAGAATTTTCCTGGGATGTTCGTAAACTCCCAATTTTAGTCTTTAGCGTTTAGTGGAGTTGTTTTGATGGTTCATGAACAACCTCAAGTCGGGAAAGCATTTTACGTTTTCTAGAGAGAGCAAATTGTAACATCTTACTTCTTCCGCGGTTGCTTGAAGGTTATTGGAAAGGTCGTTGCTGTGAACTACAAAAATTACGATGCAAAAACTGGGCCCAGGGCCACTTGCCGCTGACGTTCACACCTGCGACTCTATCGTGTGCTTCTCAGTACATTCTCCTCTGCATTGTTCTGTCTGCTTTCGCTCCAAAGCAGCTCACGGCCCTGACGGATTGAAAACACAAATGTTTTTTCTCGGCATATATTTTTTTTTGTAATAAAATTTGGGAAAGGTTTGATGTGGTTTAAAAGTCTTGTGGACAGTCGAAAGGTTGTTGATCGATGTCTTCTGATTCCCGTTCAGTTTTCTTAGTTTAATAATCCTCAAAGGCACTTCAATGAAGTGCATTACATGAGAGGGGGGGGGGGGGGGATTTAGTGCAAAATAACTAAGAGTGAAGGTTTTTCATTAACAGTTCGGCTAATTATGAACTAGAGACATACTTACAGATAATATAAAATACGCAATTAAGAAAAAAGTAAATGATATCGATTAAGCATTTTCACTAAAGAAAAGCACTTGTGAGGTTTACCTCGCAAAAATCACTGAACTTAGCTTGGGTGGTTTCGAGCACGATTTTTTACAGGTAGAGGATCCCACTCAATAATAGCTAGGGGAAGCGGGGGATTTAGAAATTTATTAGCTCTCGCGAATATAGAGTTTACTTTTAAGTATTGGTCATGACGTAATTTGATGTGAGATGACAGTAGACAGTGCGTGCTAGAAAGAGAAGAGGAATGGTAGATATTATGCAACGGGACAAGACGAGCACATTTAGTTCTTCAATAGGCGAAACTCTAGATTTGATTTTAGTGCAGCGCTTGACGTCCGTGAGTAGTCGTGCGATGCAAAACGAGACGCTTTATTTTGAACCGAGTCGAGTTTGTGGCCAGCTCATAGCCCACAGAAAAGAACTGCATGAAAGGGAGAGGGTACGCCTCCTAACTCCAAAGATATTATGAACGAATGAGCGTTCATCTCCTGTTCCCAAGAAATGCTACCTGGATGCTGCTATAGAAAAAGAGCAGCGTGCACTGCCAGAAAATGCAAAGAGAGGGCGCAGTTAAATTTAATCAACAATGCTATTTTAACAACAGCCGCAGCAGCAGCAGCAGCAGTAGTAATAATCAATCAATCAATCAATCAATCAATATTATATATGATGCCAAAAACAATTATAAGGTCTTGGTGCTGGCATACCGACATATTCAAACACTTACTAAAATGAAACATAAAAACACTAGACAAGAACCCATAAGCAGTACATTTCATCACGCATAGAAAGAGGGAATATTAGCGCATTGGCATTTCAGTACAGCTAAATGTTATAGCCTCAAATTTAAAGCATTACTCGCTTGACAAGAAAAAAATACTTTTCAGAAGAGCATTAGCTCGAACATACTTTCAACCGAATGACCGAATTCGTTTGAGCTAGAAGACCCGGAGAATCAATAGACCTGTGCAAGGTCCCAAACAAAAATAACAAGTCCACCTTTTCTCGGCGACGATACAGACCAAGTAGTTTGATACGTTTCAGCAAAGCCTCGTAATTCAACGAATGATCATCGCTTGTGAAATAGCGTTTTTTAAAAATAGAAATACGTTTTTTTGTTGTATACGTTCTATTCTGAGTGAATTCGTTTTACCGATGTCATTCCACACTACCGACGCATATTCTAGCTGAGAACGGCTGAGTGAGTAAAGGGTAATAAAAGTACACAGAGTGGTGAATTCTCTAGTCACGCGACTCACAACTCCCGAAGCTCGCAAGGATACAGTAATCATTTTCCCCACATGAACATCAAAACGCAGGTTTGAATAAAAAACAACACCAAGATCTCTTATTTCTATTACACGGGTCAGTAATTCTCTGTCAATGAGATAAGGGAAGCATACGTTTTGCATTTTGCGTAAAAATGTCATTACTTTTGTTGTTGAACGATTAAGACGAAGCTTGTTTTCTTTGCACCAAACGTTCAAGGAGTTGACGTCGGTCTTTATAGCTTTGCGCAGTCATCAGTAGTTCGAATTTCTTTGTATATTTTAATATCATCCGCATACTGCAGGAATAACGAATCTGAAATAACTAAAGGGACATCGTTCACAAAAATAGAGAATAAGAGAGGCCTAAAACAGATCCCTGGGGCACCTCGGAGTTTGTTTTGTAGGGTCTGGAGGCAGTATGATTAACTCGAACAAAACCTTCCCTGTGCAATAGATAACTCTTAAACCATTCAAGCAATTCCCCACCAACACCATAGTGAGAGAGCTGAGCCAGCAATATTTTGTGATCAACTAGATCGAAGGCCCTACTCAAATCAAAAATAAACTACATCGAGTTGGCCCTGCTTACACACGACGCGTGAAGCGGTTGACATGAAAGTGACCAGATTAGTTGTCGTCGACCTGCCAGGAACAAAGCCATGCTGGTTGGGAATTAAGAGGTTTCTGAAACACAAAGATACAAATTTATGAACAACTGTTCATAAGAGAAGGAGCTCAGAAGGCAGATCGGCCTATAATTAAATACGTCCCCGCCTTTTCACGCCTCATGCAGAGGAACGACTACAGCGAGCTCCCACATGTCTGGAAGTATCTCACACAACATAAGCCTGAATAGATCATGCTAAGATTTAATTAAAGCGGAAGGTACTCCATCGTGACCAGCTGGCAACTTTGGTCTCCTTTTTCCTAATACACTCCTCAATAACCTCCTCGCTGACTAAGATCGAGTCAAGGATGTTAGCAAACCATGACCGAGCGCGCCTACCTGATCGGTGTAAATCGACCTGAAATGATCTGCAAATATTTCTGCTGTGCTTTCTGCAGTGACACCGTCTAGAACGATCACCTTCGATGAATTTGCTTTTTCTGTACGCGAACCAACGTACTGCCAACACTTTCTGGGATTTCGACATAAATCCGACTCCTCTGCTTCTTGGTGTGCCCATAAACTGCGCATCGCCGAGCGCTCATTCTCCGCCCAAAAGTAATTTAGTTTTGCAATGCAAAAAAAAAAAGAAAAAAAAAAAAAAACAAATGGGGGGGGGGGGGGGGTAAGTGGCTACATTTATAAAATAGCAGTCACCACAACATGAATACAATATTAAACACAGCTAATAATATCAACAGCCACAAGCACCGCACAAGTTGTAACAAGCTAAGTAATTAAACAAATCAATGCATAACTAAAGAATATAAATAATTAAAAAAAAAGACGGCACAAAAGAGCGCAGAAGGGCAAGTAGAAGGTACTCAAAGAAAGGCGTTCAATATTATGTTAAAAAAAAAAAAAAAATGGATAACCTAGACTTTTTTATTTTTTATTGTAGAACTTAAAGGGGATTTTGAAATATCTAAAAATTGCACTAGCGGTTATCTAAATCCCTATCTGTGATTGGTGTTCGTGGTGACGTCACCAACTGAGGGGAAAAGTAATGTAAATAGGAAATTTGAGAATGCAAACGTAAGGTTTTGCCGATTTCTTTTTTTTTTTAACAAAAGAATATATATATATATATATATATATATATATATATATTTTTTTTTTTTTTTATTTGGTCCAGGGAATTATGCAAATTTCGTTCACGTATTTATTTTTGCTTGTGGCTGTAGTCAGGAGACTGCAGAACATACGTATTCCTCTACTAAGGGCAGTATTGTTTTGAATACATATTCACCTGAAAACACACAAGCCACTGTGAATTCAAATCTCACACCATTCCTAGTCTATCCACAACCTTAAATTATTTTCGTTTTCCCTTTATTTAACGATGCATACAAGGGGATAAGGCCGCATCACCGCCGCAAAAAGGTGGCTCCCTCCGCTATGTTCAAATGCTAATGACGCCAATATACGACGCACGAAACATACATCGAACTAAATCACAAGGAAGAAGCGAGGCCATCGAATCAGATTGTCTGCGAGCGGCGGAGCATTTTTGGCGGCAACGCTCGTATCATTGCGCGACGGGGCCGATTGTACCAGCGGCAGCATTTTATCCGGCTCGCCCGAGCGTAGCAACACAGCTGCCAGGCCACTCGCTCCCCGGCTAAAAGCAGCCCACGAAGAAAGCAAAAAGTAGAAGCGGTCGGAGGGGGGACGCGCGTCATTTAGCCACGTGACACATCACGTGACGTCATCGTTTGTTGCACCGCGCCATCTACTAACCTTTACCGGAACTACACCGCAGCTGCGGCTCAATGCAGGTCACTTATAAAAGTCTGCTACAAACATTAAAATACCACACAGGAGACAAACTGAGTCTATTAAAGCCGAAATTGCAGGTAAAATGCGCGAAATCGGTCACGTAAAATCGCTTTCTCCTTGTAAACAACATTGGAACTACTTTGGAACGCGGAGGAGCAGTGGAGGTTGCGAACAGGCCGATTTTGAAACGGCAGATTCGGCGGGAAAACACCAGGACGCCATTTTGAACACGAAAAATCCGACGGGCCGAGCTTTTCTTCCTCGTCCGAGGCATCGTTTCTGGATGATTTCGCCACGGAAACGGGTCGTGTTCGACACCGCCTGATCGCTGAAAGCGCCGTGGTCCCGCAGGGACACGTTTGATCCAGGTAAGCCCGCCGTTGCGCCCGCAATTTGCTTCATTCTGCTGGCTCTCACCGCTTCGGCGACGAACCGCCGCGCTCATCATGACATCTAGGGTGCGACGGATGCACTACAGCAAGCGCGTATTTGAGCGGTAGTCGCCGATACTCGTCGGATATTTCGGGAGGAAAAAAAATATACAAATAATGCGGAATGGTGGCGCACCGGCGCTAAGCAGCTCTCGCCTTTGCAGTCGCAGTTAATGCTTCCCACTACCTTTAGCAGTGAAGCATTCTGTGGGTTTTGTGCGGTTTTAAATAGGAATTAATGTAGGGGACCCGCGCCCGTTCGGCAAGCCGTCTAAAATGGCGGACCTGTCCTTTTTTTTTTTTTTTTTTTTTTTTTTTTACGCGGCCTGCGTTTTGGGTCGTAGCCGGTCGTAGCGGACTTTTGGAAAAACGTCTCGCCGAAAAGGTCTCGGCGGTTTTGTTGTGGTGACCAAACGTTGGGCGGTATCCGCGTTTCCCAGCTTCGGTGATAGTTCAGGCGCCAAAGCCTATTTGGGTTTTTACTTTTGGTTGTATTGACGCCGGGCAAAGGGGGCTTGTCCAGCTTGGCGGGCTGCCTGGTTCAGCCGCCGCAAAAAAAATTTGAGTGCTTTTTTAAAATTTTTATTTTCCAATCTGGACGACTAGGAAACGCTGGATCGGTAATCGCTGTCTTTCGTGAAACTGGTGCATCCATTAATTTTTTTTTTATCCCCCCGCACTGAAAGATTTTTCCGTTGCCGCCGCCTTGGGTTGGCTCTCAATTATTAGAGGTTTCTGGTTTCTTGCATTCTCCAAATAAAGCGATTGATATAGAGCTTAGAAAACCTAAACGCCCATTGCCCGAAGTCCATCTCGTCGATCAAAATACCGCAGCTTCTGTTGATATCTGCAAGTTTGTAGCGCGGGAGCCGCCGTGGCGACTTCCCGCCGATGGGATAGACATGGAGCACAGGAAACACGCTGTTTCCCGTCTAAAATTCACCAGAAAGTCTTGTCCTTCTGGTGAAATTACTCTGCAGTAATTTACATCGATGCACCATATCTTGGGTGTGCTTCACACCCAAGATATGATGCATCGAAGTAAATTACTGCAGAGTCGTTTATGCATAGCCAGACTGGAACCTAAAAGGTTTTCAAACACAAGTGCGAGCCCGCGAATCTAATTAAAAGGTTTTCATTAGTTTGCACTTCATGTTATGTTACAAAATTGCCTAGGTTTTGACTTGGTCATTCTTACCTTTATGCATATGATGTCAATCCCCACATGCAAAGACAACAGTCACAGACTGTAGGTGGGCAAGGTTTCTGCCTTGTTTGGACTGCACTGCGAATGGTTACCGTAAACCAGGGCCGTACCCAGAAAAAAATTTCAAGGGGGGTTTTCGGGGACAACGGTGGCCATTTTGAAAATGTCTATTGTCTTATTTTTGCCTATGAATCGTGGGCATCGGTGGCATATAATGGAGAGTTATAGCAAACCAAAGAACCGATCCCGGTTTGGTACCCAGTAGCCGACCGGTGCCACTGCGCGTGCACAGAGGTAGAGATTAAAATCAGCTGGCTGCAAATGCACCGACCAGGGCCATACCCAGAAAAAATTTCAGGGGGGGGGGGGGGGGGGGGCAGAACCCCCTAACCCCCCCCCCCTGGTTACGGCCCTGCCGTAAACAATGCTGGGACTAGAAAGGTGTCATGGCATGCACAAGTAGGCGCTGACTGGTATATGTTGCGTCGTCTTCCTAGACCCATTCCCAGTTTCATTTACTGGTAATCCTTCTCAGTGCAGTTCAAAGCCACTATAGTCCAATCCCAGGCACTGTTAATAATACAGTTTTGATTTGGTGGCAGTTTTTGCGGCCTGTTGAAGTTCAGTAAACCTTTCTGGCATACTAGGTATATAACACACCAGGAAACCTTTCGACAACTACGAAAACAGTGGATAATTTTTATTTTGTACCTTTCTAAACATATATCTACCTTTTCTTTAGTTCCTTAGCATTTGTATTGGGCAAACATTTACTTCCTACTCGTTTTTGGGAAGAAACAGATTTGTTTGTTCCTAGACTTCTTGCCACTTGAGGCACGTCCGCCCTACCTGCGTGACGCGGTCCACTCGGGTTTCATTCGTTTCGGGCAGACGCACACTGTTCGTTTATAAAAAAAGGGAATGTTTAGAGAATTGTTTTCTCGAGTGCCACGTGGAAGTTGCAAAGAGCAGGAGATGGTTCTTTCTGTCGTGAGCATGTGCCCCTCCGCTTCATCAGGATCAGGCTCATCATCCCCTGCGTCGCTCCAGTCTTTAAGTGAAGGCCGGCTCACGCCTTTGCGTTTGACTGTGATTGAGTGCATCATGATCTCTTGCGAGTTCTTACGAAACAACACATCACAGACCAGTGGGACATGCTGACGCTGGTGCCATCTGTCTGCCAGCCTTGGAACTGCGTATGACTGCAGTGGCTTAAAGGGGGGAGTGTAGTTATCGCGTAGCCTCCACCATGCATCGGGAATGGCCGCTCCCTGGAAGACGATGTAGGTGGCGCTTCGATCCGCAGCTCCGTTGGGTGCCTCAGTCGGCCGGCAGATAGAGGCACCCTAACACGCTTCATAACTAATATAAATATATCAAAAACAATTATTTGTTTCCAGTGAACTTCCAACGACATGATTTGTGTTTGAAGGTGAATAAAAAATGTGAAGCTAGCAGACGACAGTGTAGTCGACAGCTGCGAATCGGCCGGAGCCATAGCTGGAATGACGGTGCTGCAAGCGCCAGTGCCATCCGCGGCCGCCTTCCAACGCTGTGCCGCTTCTCCGGTTCATTCATTACACTACCCCCTTTAAGCCACTGTAGTATGACTAAAATCACTAGATCCTGGGAAAGTAGCGCCAAGCACCCTGTATGGTCGCCATTATGATTTATGGAATGAGCTGTTTTTTCCTTCACTTTTCAATTCTTGGTGAACCGATCTACATTCGCTGGTGACGGGTATATTTATAGAGTCGTTTCTTGTATACCGAGATCTTGCTATTTACACATGGGCGAAGGAAGCATGCATATTCGTACCGCCGCCACTTGCGGCGTTGGCGCTTGGAGGCTTTGAAAAACAATTTTTCTGCGTTGAAATACGTAAGAGGAGTAATATCATTGTAAGAGGTCTGTGGAGATAAGCATGTTTGATAAGTTGATTGGATACACAGTACCAAAGACTTACTTTGGCGGGGAACGCCTTCAGTACAACGAAGCTCCATAGTGATCTTGGCATGACTGGTTTAGAATGAAGCTTCGATGGGTTGGAAGGACCAAAATGGCGATTGCCATGGCAACTGAGACCGATCGGCCAGTCGTCTTGCGGAGCTCTAGTCGTCTGTATGTTTTTATCTGTTTGTGTCCTTTTAGCAAGCAGGGAAGGCAGTGGGACTATGTTCCCAGGATTGAGTGACTCTACGAATGACTACACTGGAGGTTTTAAGATATTTGTGAGATAAAATTATTTATTTGTTCATAATGCCTTACAGGCTCGTTGACAGCATTTGGTTAGGTGGAAAGGGGGGGGGGGGGGGGGGGGCTAATAAAATACAAAATTTTAAGGTATAAACAAAGCAGTGCACAAGACAAGAATGCGTAGCATCAACTGAAACTAAGTACCTACTCAGAATTTTACAGAGAAAATAATTAAACAAGGAATAATACATATACAACATAATAGATACTTGTGGCTACACTTCAAACGCAGCAAGACAAACGAATGGGCAGATTAAACAGCTGCCTACCTACCTATGAGTCGCTTTTAACCTTCTCAAAAAGTATCTCAAAGTCAACGACTAAAAAATTATGCGTAAAAGAAAACTAGGAAATTTGCGCAAATTAGAAGCATTCCAGGGCTACTCTATAAATTGTGCCGATGTTCTCTTGTAAGCACTCACAAGGGATCACAATTTACTCGGTCACAGTTAAGCGCAAATGTGCGAACAAGCTGTGCACTTTCTTTACATACAGAGGTGAAATAGCGCAAGCACAAAAATTGGAAGAACGTTCTTCCCCTCTCTGTGTCTGTGTTATTTTACCTCAGTATGTACAGTGCTTACCAACTAGCCCAGGTACCAACCTCATTAGAGCACTTTCTTTTTGAAGGAAGCTTAGGAATGTCATCGTGAAACTCATCTGCATCGGGAGTCACTGTTTTGGCTGTGTGCCGGTAGCTTTCTGATGGGCGCATACACTTCCAGGTGCATGGAGTTGGTGAAACTGAGGCCAGGCTAATGTGGTGCTTTCATGGAGGGGGCTAAATTTTCGGCATTGTTTGCAAGAAATGACGAGCATGGGCCGTCATTTTCGCAGTTTCCTCTGCCTGTGCCAAAACCAGCAGGAAGATGTTTCAGGGTCAAAATGTTTGAGAAGCCGGAAAAATTCTCGGAGAAAGTATCTCGTAAAAGAGAACAGAGAACCACAATCACTGATGTCACTGGTACACCTTATACTCAATTTTATACTTAGTATACAATGTTGTCGAGGCTACTGGTGGGAGCACATTGCTTCATCATGGTTTCGTTTGTATGAGAATGCGTGCAGATGATCTGCGGTATCAAACCCCAAGCTTGCGCCAGCGGCTTCGACACCGTTCTACACAAGGTATGAAACAGAGTATGGGCCACACAAATATCATTGGTGGCATATTGTTATATATGCCTTATGCACATTAAAACAACATTTACATTTTTTTTTTTTGATGTGGAAAGGACAGAAGAAACAGAATGCGCGCTGCGAGTTTGCACTTCCTCTTTTTTGTTTTCTTGAAACTGAAAAGATTAGTTTGCTTACATTGTGTTTTCAGCATTTTAGAAAGTACACCCTCCCATTGCCATACCCGACCTGAGCCTGAGAAAATTTTTTTTTGTACAAGCTCTTGTTTGATTTGAGTACAGTATGTACTAGTGCCTAGCTTGGGCTTTCTAGTTGGCCCAGGCCAAAACAATTTCATAGGGCATTACCTTCTGACATGCCAGTGGGTTTCCCATAAGGATGCTAACCCCTGAACCGTTTTGAGTTTTTTTTTTAGAAAAAATCTTACCCTCAACTGCTTAACTGTTGTTTCAAAAGCAAATTTGTTGCCTTCAAAATCATTCTAGCCACAAACAAACTAGGAGCAAAATTTAAAAAAATTGAGTGCTGCCATCTGTTTGCAGAGCTGCAAACTAAGCCTTCATCGAGGCTGGTTCGTCCAAAACAGTTGAGTGCTTGAAGCAAGGAAAGCAAACGAGCTATACTCGTCCTGAACGGTTTGGGGTTGACTCCACATCGACATGCTGGGCTTGTAGCGAGGAAGAAAGATTATCTTTTTCTGTCCACAATACCAGATACCGGTTACCGGGAACTGAAATACAATATCGGTTACCGGGAACTGATTTAGTGAAGGTTCCCCGAGGAACTTTAGAAATCTTGTGGCGACTGCTCGTGTTCGCACGAGAATTGTCATGGGATATGGATGCTGATGGTTCTGGCAGCCCTTTGCCACCACCTGCGGGGTTCTTTGGACTGCCACAGGCTCGTGCAAGACGGTTAAGGTGTTAACAAAGGGTTCTGCAAACAACTACCTAGACAATACAGATAAAAAACTTTTATCTGCTCGTATACATCTGACTTGTACCTTGTGTAATTGGTGCTTTCAATCTCAAAACTAGAGCCCTGCGCAGATAACAAATTGACCATCCGCAGACTTCGTATCCGCATCCGCTGTATTCTTATTGTATCCGATCCGCATACGCAAACCTTTTATCCGCATCCGAAGCGTATCTGCCGAATTTGAAAGCGCCTCCATTTCTCAATCTGTGGACTCATTTTATATCATGAAATCAAGCATTAATAAAAAGAATATATATATAAAAGCACCTGGATTGTATCCTATAAGCTGCCTGCTTATTTTTATGCAAAGAACTTTTCGTGTCAGAATACGGTGAAAGTCATTTCATCATACCCTGTTTTATCGTATTTATAACATGAGCAACCATTCTTCCAGAGACATTTCGCATCGCTGGAAGGATGATCGCAGTTATAGATCATCTTGGGAGCCAGTGACACTGACACTCTGTCCAGAGGATGCACACAGAAGAAAGGAAATTTTAATACTTATTCCCCTCTTTGCTTTGTAAAACCGACTTCAAGTAGACACATATTTTATAAATACGAAAATTAACAAAATTAACTATTTAGGCCAAACAATAAAAGAAGTGAGGAAAGGCGCTCACTCACCACAGCAGAGTCCTCGTGTATATGTGGTCAAGCGCGAGTACACCAATGGGAAAATATCACAATATTCAATATTGGCTACATTTACCGATTTCAATTTTAAACACAAACCCTAAACTGCATGCTCGGTACCATATACTTAAAAACAACTCGGTGTTAACTATCGAGAGAAAGAAAACGTACACACACACAACGTTTCACTTGTCGAGGTTGCTGTGTTGAAGAAACAGAATATCATTAACATAGACGGTTTCAGATCAGGTCCGCTAATGAGAATTCTCTCTCCGTTGGTGAACTTGATGCTGAGATGGCATGCACGAACTGCACTGCAAGAATTATGTGAGGAAACTCGTGTTGGCTCAAGTTCCGCCACTCCAAAGGATCAAATTCAGTCTGCTCGATCTACTTGTTGGCAAAGAAGTCACTTGCGGGCTTCTAATTATGTGTGGCTTGTACGTTTTGGGTTTTCTTGGTCTGAAGAATGTTTTCCGCTCTTTCCCTGGCAAACAAGAACACGTTTACCCGGGACGACAGACGCTCCTGCATTTTTTACTTGTTCTAGGGGCAGCCCTTTTGGCGAGATAGGACATTCTAATACAATATTTCGTGAGAATCGAATCTTATTTGACGTAAAGAAAATTTTCTCCTTGATGGCACCTTTCATCTAAAAGAGTAGTTTGCTCCTGCAATACATCTGATGATGTACCTCATAGTATCACTTACTCAGTCAGTCTACAGTAAACTGTGCGGTCGCACACGTTTATGGGCCTCCTCGGCGAAAATGTATATCGGGAGCCACGGATATCCGATGTGCATCCGCAGCCCGTGGCATCCATGTCCGATCGGCAATCAGAAAATCTGATTAATTTTTATCCGCATCCGCCAGTTTACTGTGGATATCCGTGGATGATCCGCGGGTAATCAGCGGATATGCAGGGCTTTACTCATAACCTACTCGAATGCTAGCTAGCAATTTGGAAAAGTGTGCCGGTTGTAATAATGGGCTAAGTACGAGGTCTTCACACACGTCAAAGTTGAGAGTCCTAAACCACCTTGTTATGGTCGGTTGACGAAGAACCAGACACTACCGTAGGTTCCAGTACGACATAGAGCAATAAGACTTTATTCTCTTCTTCTACCACCAGCTGATAGTTGTCCCAGCCAACGATCTAGTCAGCAGGTGGCAGGAGGTTCCACTCCTCTCCGCGCATTCGACTCGACCCCGCAAGCAATTCGCGAAGCGTGGCTCCAGTCAAATGCCGAAGCGTCTCGGAGACGTTTTCTAGATTTACTGGAGAGGGTTACAGAGCACCCAAACCTTTTTTGGGCTGCACTCCGCCTTCTTGGGGACATTGGACAGTAAAGTTTGTTTTTGGCCGCTTTACCACGAGTGAGCCAATCCAAATTTGTGGTGAGAGGTGGTTATATAAAAACAGTCGCTCATGCACTGACATTATCTTGCGCCTGCAATTGATGACTTCATGGAAGCACTAATCATTCTGTATTGATCTCTAACAACAGAACATAAAAATATGCCTTTTCCCTTTTGTTTCAAAGCAAAAATGTGCTTTCGAAAGAGCCAGGTAATTAAGCGTACAGCTTTGCACTTTGGTGGCGGTATTGAAAAGTAATTTTGAGACAATAAAAAGGAATGAAAGATGATCTCGTTTTTGGAGATTGCTGCAGATAAGAAAAGTTGAGCATTTTGTTTGCAGGGACAGATCCTAGGATGGCGATGTTAACGAGACACGCTTTTGGTGCGACGATACGTCATCGTGATCTAATGTGGGTCCAAACTTCTGGGCCCCAGTGTGGCGACTGTGCCGCAAACCATACAGAAAAAAAGTTGCCCCCCTTATGCTAGCGTGGCAAAGGCAGGGATAATACAGAATGGGGATGTGTCAGTGTGGGACTTTCTCAGAGCCTCTTGGAGTGTGAGATGCACTAGATGGAGCGTGCAGAAAACAGAACAATTGAAACACAGCAGCTCTGAGCAGAGCCGTGGCACCAGCTCGCGGCAAAGAAAAACCAAACCCTCGATTCATTGCGGCAAAGTAAACACGTCTAACATAGCGTCTGATTTTTCTTTTTCCTGTTTTTTTTGCGCTTTTTTTTCTGGGGAAGCCTGGAGCATGCTTGTTTCACGGAGCAGAGTGCCGCTGCACTTCTGAACACGCTGTGTTTTTCCCTCGCCGGGAGTAACGCGGATGCATGCTAGGAACACATTTGGTTGGCACCGTTGTCTGGTAAGAAGACGAGCGCTGCGTCGGCGTTGGACTGGCAGTCGGCTTATCGACTTCCTTCCCTGGTTGGGGAACAGAAATGGTTAGATACCAGCCATATTACACATTCTGCATTGAAAGATTGTCGGCAAAGGGAATGCGACACTTTGGAGACCGATCCATTGACTCTGTTGTTTTCCTTTTCCCTCCCAAAGGTGCGTGTACTGAAGAGGGGCGGCCATGTTTTACGCCCACTTCGTGCTGGCCAAGAAGGGCCCTCTGGCCCGGATCTGGCTGGCCGCCCACTGGGATAAGAAGCTGACCAAAGCCCACGTCTTTGAGACCAACATCGAGACCAGCGTCGAGGGAATCCTACAGCCCAAGGTCGGTGGGAGGTTCTAGTAAAGAGCTAAACGACTGCCTGCTGGGTCGCCGAATTTTTCCCAAATTATCGAAGTTTCTAAGCTCCGTTTCAACACCAGGGTGCGGCAGTGGGGTCTTCAAGATGGAAGCCCCATAGAGCCGAATCGGGGTGGGCACAGCTGGAAAAGCCTCCTGTCCAGTGGGAAAATACTTTCGCTTTCACGAGCAATATTACCGGATTCCCACGCGAACGCTGGTATGCCAGCTATAATTTGCAAGCTATGCAGAGCTGCTGTACAGTTGTCTCACATACCTTATTTTTTTCTACCGGTATCGCAATGGCCGACATTGACCGCTCGGAAATCTCGATTGTGTCTGTTCTCGAGGAGACGGTGTGGAATGAGGTTCTCTGGGAACAGTGGAGGCTAGGAGCACGACCAGATAGGGCTTTAGAGTAGTTGGGATGTAAAATGAGAGCATCCGTCACCAATAACAAGAAATAGTAGCAGGGAGGGCATTTGCTGCCGCGTTGGTGCATACTCGGCTAGGCGTACGGCAGAGGTGACGGGCGGTGGAACGGCGCAGGTGAAAATGGCCCTGCGAACCTCGGGGCACCTGCTGCTGGGCATTGTGCGCATCTACTCGCGCAAGGCCAAGTACCTGCTGGCAGACTGCAACGAGGCCTTCATCAAGATCAAGATGGCGTTTCGTCCGGGGGCCGTCGACCTCCCCGAGGAGAACCGCCAGGCCGCCCTCAACACCATCACCCTGCCCGAGGTCTTCCACGACTTCGAGGCAGGCATGCCTGACCTCAAGTGAGACTGGAATCATACTCATCCCGAGAACCGTCGTAAAAAGTACTCCGGCTTCTGGGGGGCGTTACCAATCTCCTTCTTTATGGGGGAGAATTATAATACACGTGGGTGCATCTTAGATTGGCTAGATGTCATCTTTTCGAGACTGGCATGTTTCAAACGCAAAAAGCATAGTTTCTTCCTCGAACAGCCAAATCAAGTGAGAACATCTTCGCACCCTTCCTTCCTTTCACGCTGCCTTTATAGCCCTCTAGTCAGCTCGTTTAACGTGCTGCAGGTTGTTTGGGAGAAAAAAAAAGGAGCACGTTTGTCTCACCGTAAATATGATGTAGTGCTAGCGGTTAGGACAAGCCGTCGAGGTCGTGGAACCTGCCGTCATCTGATTAAAAAGTTACCAGCAGTCTTCAGGGACTTTTTAAGGATCCCAGCTAATAGCATTACATTTGGGTGGAGGCTGAGTGTTGGGCGATATCGATAGGTCTACACGTCTTCGTCGACTTGAGCCGAATTTATATTGAGTTGTGGGCGTGCCATGCAGCAACATTGACATGGAGGCCGCAGTAACGCTGAACCAGAGCCGAGCGGAGGACATCACTCTCAAGGAGGACTACGGGTCGCTCAGCTTGCTGAACGACGACGGCTTCGGTGAGGAGAATCTCCATTCATGGCGTGCGGGAAAGCGATGGTGGGAAATTCTCGGGCCAGCTGCATTTAAAGTGCTCTATTGTTAATGACTGCCTTTTGTCGATGCTGCGGAGCGACTGCCGTATGGTCTGCGGGCTCATTGTGTGTCTCGGGGCATAAGGAAACATGTGCAAACAAAATTGAGGCAGGTATGTTGCTGCTATAGCACTTGCACTCCTATGGATATGGCTTCAGAGGAAAATTTGTCTTAATTTGAGGTGTAGACAGCCGTACGCACCTGTCGGCTGTTTGTGTAAGTTAATGATGTAATCCACTTTGCTCAGCGTCTGCACGGAATGTGCAGGTGAATGCTTAACTTCATTTTAGCATCCGTCTGATAAAAATGACCTCCTTTGTGAAAGTTCGGTAAGTCGATTGAGGATGTTTCTTTGTGGTAGCCTATGTGCCCGTGCAGTCAATTTCGAGTTTTTATGTCTAAGACGTGGTTTCTCAAACTGGGTTCCTACAAACCCGGGGATTCCCCAGTTTCCTCGATCGTCCAGTCTATGCACTTTCCAGTTTAAGTGTCGCGGGCAACCCAGTCTGGCGATAAGCCAATAACTGATGGACGTTGCGATCCTACCTGTGCCTGTGCACTCGAGATGACGAAAATCACGAAACAGAGATTAGAGGACTGGTGAGGCAAAGCACCAATGGTTAGCTATAATGATAGTTAAGTTAGCATGGGCAAGTTGGTGTAGATTTAATGATTTCTTAAATCAGATTTGGATTCTTCTTGTTCTTAACCAAGTCTCGGGTGGTTTAAGGAAATAACGATCGTGCTTAGTTTTTTTTAAAAAAAGGCATTGCTAGATCTAGTTTTGTTTTCCAGCGCTATCACCCGATAGGAAGGCTATAACCACTGTAATCTAACCCTGTCAAAGAAGAGCAACATCTTTGTTCTCCTCCCCCGTGCAGGCGACATGGGGTTCGATGACCCCGAGATGGCCCGAGAGGCGACCAACATCGACGAGGCCTTTGACCAGGCCAGCCTGCTTCTGGGCTCCTCCGCGGTGATGGCCAGGGGCTCAGACCAGCGGTCGGCCGCCCAGAGCTCCCAGGCCGGGGAGGAACCCTCCGCACTGGGGGCACCCTCTGGGAACGACCTGGACGCGGGGGCGCACGGCAGGGACGACCCCTTCGGGGCGCAGGGCAGCAGCGCGGGGGACGGACCCAGCGAGGACAACCTGCTCGGTGAGACGCCCTCGCAAGCGCCCCGCTCTTGTCCCTGTGTGCGGTGACGAGGCGACGGTTACAGCGTCTATAGCGCTTTATGTGCTCCTGTGTTGCCAAGTGTCTTTCTTTTTTTGCCTCGAACAACGAGTTGCTTAAGGTGTCGTGGAGGTGAAATGGAAACTGTTAAGTCGTTATCGCAATTAGTATTCTGTTGTTTATTAGCTATTGTTTACTGCTTTCTTCACTCCGAGGCATGCAAGTTTTCCGGAACGCAAGGAAATGACTTGGCAGTATAAGCTGCGAAGGCCTTGGGATGACTTTACAGAAGGAGTACTCGCTTGCAGCTTAGGCTTTTGCTCAAATAACGGAATGCTTCAGAATGTGCGCAAGCAAGAGGAAAGGTCTAGAGGATTTAGGCATTACAGAAGTGTGGCATAGGAGGCGCTGGAAAAACAACTGCATTGGAAGAAGGCAGTTTTCTCGGTGGTGCTGCCTCGACCACTGGACACTCTTTAAAATTTCAGACTTCCGTTAAAGCCTTGTCGTAATCCAGTGCATCCCACTTATAACTGAACAAAGATTTCTAACTGGGCCCTAAGACTCCTTTGGGGTCGGCTCCTTTTCTTTGGGGGTGACTATGGCTATGGCCGTTCTCCTACAGTGGTGTCTTTTGACGGTTGGATTTGTGTTGATTTTCACATCTAATCGTAGAGAACTGCTCGTATCTTTGACGCACATAAAAAAAGCTTGTAACATTTTTAGCGCTATGCTTCGTGTGATGTTAATTATATCGTAAGAAACACCCGGTATAACGAACCAATATTGAAATCTTTAAAACTCTTTGCTCAAAACAATTATAATCTGCCACAACTTTATGCCGTGAATCTAGGCCTCAAGGAAGGTTATACTTTTGTCGTATAACTGGAGGCCAATGCTAACGGGTCCTTAGCCTCCTATCCTATCTATACGAGCAACGTTGACAGGCTGAAGTCAAGTCGCATCTGCACTCTCGCTTTTTGCCGCGTCGCTGCACCATCTCGACAGCTGCGTCGTGTGCTAGAGCTGAGGTGTCCCCCGTCCCGTACGCAGAGGGGGACCATGGTAACCTGTTTGAGCCGGCGGGGCTGTTTGACGACGCCCCCCTGGGCCACGTGCCGCTGGACGCCAGCGGCTCGGACCGGGGGGACGCGGGAGGACCCCCGGGCACCGAGGGGGACCAGCTGCCGGGCCCCGCCCCTAGGCCGGCCCCTGCAGCGGAGGAGAGCGACGACGACGACGACATGTACGGTAAGTTGCCCCACCCTGACTTCTCCGCTTGTATTCTGGCGTCGTCGGTTTGGAGCAAAGTCGCACTGGCTCGCCCTTGCACACCCCTGTGACTGAACCCTCGCCAAAGCGAGTAAGGAGAGCATTTGACAGAAGCGACTTTGCCGAAGTGAAACTTGTAGAGTGAGTGATCCTGAAAGAGTGTCTTCTCTTGTCCCGCTTCTCGAGGCTCAATGCACGGAGTTGGTATAATAACCTAGAGAGAAAGATCTCAAGCATTTCGGCCACTTTGGAACGGCGGGGCATAGGCGCGGACATCGGTGGTCCCGATGGGGCCATATTGCTGACAATGTTTCGATATACACAAAGAGGCAGGAAAGCATCACTTGCAAGGTCTGTATCTAGCATTCTCCTAGCTTTGTTTCGCCCAAAATACCGGCGTCGTGCAATGTAAAAAAAACGCAAATAAGTTGACGAACAGTAGAACAATTTAGCTCGTCACAGCAATACAAACACACCTATCATCTGCTTTCTTTATCCAATCTTCTGTTGCTTTCTTTCTCGGTTGTTCCTTTCGTATCACCGATGTCGGTGCTTTCGATTTGCCATGTTCTGTTTTCGTCTTTATCCTTCCTTTCCTTTCCAGAGATTGGTTAGAGTTTTTGCGGTGCCAAGTGACCTAAGTGTGCAGCTCTCGAATCGGAGGCGGTCGTTTGTCTGCCGAGTTAGTGCTAGTTGGTATGGCTGACAGTATGATTCTTCAACGTGTGTTGCTATTGCGCGATGCACATCAAAGACCCCCAGGCTAGCGGTCGTACTGCACCGATTGAATTTCTCAACTACAGTGGCCTCATTCGACATACCTGCACGAGCCTGCAGCGGCGCAGAAAAGTGTAGCGCGGTATAGAAAAGTGCAGGGCAACGCACTTTCGGCTGTGTCTGCTCGAGACAGGCTGCACTCGTCAATCGAACTCGATAGGGTCCACCAAGTGCAGATCGTGCAGGGGATGCAGGTAAATCTAATGAATCCAGTGTAAACCAGTGTCGCTGTGCCTCGGAGACAGACCGACCTTGTGCCGTCTAAACGCAGACGTCTAACTTGTTTTGGTTTTGTATGCATCGGTTGACTGTGCATCCCCCTCGCCTGCAGACATGGGCCCCCCCTCTATGGGTGCCCCTTCGGGCCCCTCGAGCCCCGGCAGCTCGGTGGGCGTCCCCGAGGGCCCCGACCCGGACGGGGTGCCGGGCCCTGCCCAGGCCCCCCCAGGCGCGTCTGCAGAGGCCTTCGATGGGGTCATGGCACCCCCGGCCCCGCCGACGCCGGCACCCCAGGCCCCCGAGGTCCCCGCCGACGTCGCGGCGGCGCCGGCCGACCAGACAACCCTCATCAACAACGAGGACGAGAGCTTCGCCCTGGCACCGCTTGACTCCACCGTGGTTCAGGGTATGTCTGGGCTGTTCACGACGGTCTGACCGTGCAAAAACACCGCGAGACAAGGCCTTTCCCCCCAAACGTCGTCTCCGGTAAACCCACTCTGACCGGCCGTCACGTCCCCGTATGCAGGGGTGGAGAAAGCCAAGACCAAGCGCAAGCGCAAGCTGATCGTGGACGAGGTGAAGAACATTTCGGGGGAAGAGATGAAGTCACAGCTGTCGGACACGAGCGACATCATTACCACGCTGGACCTGGCGCCCCCCACCAAGCGGCTCATGCACTGGAAGGAGACCGGCGGTGTGGAGAAGCTATTTGCCCTGCCTGGGCGGCCCATACTCTCCAAGACCCTCTCCAGGGTGAGCCGCCCGATTAGTGGTCGGATCATCCTCTGTCTGGCACTCGAGAGGGTGGAAATCGCAGAACGCAGATCAGACAAGCCGGTGTAAATCACAAAAAAATCACAAAACGCAGATTAGACAAGATGGTGTAAGTCACAAAATGCAGATTAGATAAGACTGTGCAAATCACAGAACGCTGATTAGACGAGACTGTAAATCACAACACAAATCAGACAAACAAGAAATCACAAAATGCAGATTAGACAGGACGGTAGAAATCACATAATGCTGATTGGGCAAGACGGCGGAAATCGGGAAACGCAGGTTAGAGGACTGGCGGGGAAAAAATCTGAAGTGGGAGGTGTGCACTACCATGGACAGAAGGCAGAACTTTGTTTTTCTGGGTCACTCTCAGTACGGATGTTGTGAGAATGAAAAATGGAACACTTGAGTGCTGTTTAGTGAGACAACATTACGACAATGTCTGGGGTTAATCGTGGAAGTTGATAGAATGTGGATGACAGATGCAATTTCTTCTAACTTGTGTCCTCGGTGAAAAGTGACCGTACGTAGGGAATAGACGTGTCGAGGGGTCTATGTTCAGAAGGTTTTCAGGAAGTTTGTTCCAACCGGCGACAGTGCATGGAAAGTAGCTGTAGTACTTGAAAACATCCTTGTGGCAGGAACACTCGCACATTGCTTGGCAAGGACAGCACTCCTCTCTCTGGCATCTGTAACGCCGCGCTTCTTTCCATTGACTCGCACAGCTGTACCAGCGGCATCTGACGACGAAGGCAGTGGAGAACGAAGACTTTGGGGGAGAGGAGGACCACATCCTCCTGGAGGAGGAAGAGGCCGCCGAGCAGATGAGGCTCGCCGAGGAGGAGAGCCTCGGTGAGAGAGACTGTGCCCGCTCTTTCATCGAAGCGCGCCTTGCTTTGCTCGTTCACTTAATTTCATTGTGTTTAATTTCTGCCTCTCTAGCGACAATTTTCTCACACCGGCGTTCTCGTTCAGTACGCTTGTGACTTGGTTCTCGCAAAATACGGCTGTACAACAAAGAGGCGACCGGCGTTATATTTCATTGTAGTGCAGCTTTGCAAAAGGCTGAAATCCCCGTGTTCACGGTGTTCGGTGTCCACACTACGGACACCACGGAGTCTCGGTGTGCTTTAGGACGTGTACACATCTGCTGCATGCGCAGTTAGCTACGGTCATTGACAACACAGGCAGGGAGGAGCTCCACTTGTCCCGCCTCTGGGTTTCCTACCTCCAAAAACGTTTCAATGTCTCGTGCACTTTGCACGACGGAAAGCACAGAGCGGCGCTGCTTCATGTTGTCTGACGGGAAGCAGCGCCGCAAATTTCCAACGTTGCTCACAAGCAACATTTCAAAAAAATGTTTACGTAAAAAGGCAATTTTTTTCAGAGACGAGATTTTCGTCGCTCTGCATTTTCTAAAACCACGTCCGAGTTGGTAGGTCTCCAGTATTTCCAGTAAAATTTCAACCATCCAAAGGTTGCGAAAATGTTCCAGAAGCCGGGACTCATCATGATGATACAAATTACACCGACTTGACGTAACACAAATAACAATTAAACTGGAGGTTTCGTCTCCCATACGGGAGACATCATCGGAGAAGCCAAGAGGCAGCACTCGGGAAGAGGACCGCGGTTGGAGTCACAAGCCGATGAATCATGAACAGGATTTGCTGCCTCTTGGCTTCACTGATGTGACCTCTCGTACAGGAGATGAAACGTCCGATTAAATTGTTATTTGCGTTATGTCAAGCCTGTGTGATTTGTCTCATCATCAAAAGGTTGTTGGACGTTTGTTGCGATCGTTTACAACTCCTTTGGGTGCAGCCCTGCACGCCAAGAGGCGTCGCCTGGAGGAGGAACTTGTGCAGCCCCACGGCACCCCTCAAGGCCCTCCCTCGTTCGACCTGGGCCAGCCGGACTTTGGCCAGGGGGCCCACCTGGTCCAGGGGGCGGACCCCTACGCCTCCCCAGTGCCCATGCCCCCCATGGTTCCGCCCCCCGACTACAGCCACCAGCAGCCGCAGATGCAGATGCAGATGCAGGCGCAGATGCAGCCCCAGATGCAAGCCCAGATGCAGGTGTGTGAGTTGTTGCCTTTTGCCAGGACGCCGGCTTTCGGCTTCGTATGCTCGTTCGTTGGCGCAGTTGGCATCGCGACCGCTTGCGCCATCTCGTCTCCCGTGCGAAACGGCACCATATTGTTTGAAGACCTTTGGCTTCGCTGCGTTTCCATAGGAGCTAAGCCTTTTTCTTTCTTTACTTATTCTTCAGGTAAGTTCGCTGTTTGCAAATTTTACAAAAAAAAAAAAATGCACCATCTGTGGGCAATGCTGCACAAAGTCGTAGCGTGGTAGGGTAAGAAACTGAATTTTGCGGTCGATTTAAAGAGCCTGACCACTTCTTGATATACCCAGTAGAAAGTTTTCACGTTACATATTGTTTCTAAAAAAAAAAAAAAATATTACCTCATTACAGCAGCACATTTTCTACACTTGTACCTTAAGTATACCTCAACTTTTCTTCGCTGTATATTCGTACCTTCATCATACTTGTATCTTCAATATGCACTACTGTCTCGAGTGCCTTATGCTCCTCTGGCAGCATTTCAAGCTTGCTACGACATTTCTGGGTTGAGGAAAGGCCGTAATACTGGCATTTCAGGTTTCGGGATGCAATAGAAAAAATGACAGCAAAATAAACTGTTTCTTTTTTTATTAGTTGGGTGTGCATTAGTATATGGTTGTCGTAGAGTCACCGAAGTTTTAAAGTATACAAAATTTTGTAGCGTCTGCTTAGACTAGAAAGAATCAAGCTATCTGATTGGCCGAATGAAGATGAAAAACTTTCGCACTGGGACTCGCAACAGCCGCAAATTATGGTGAGTCGGAAGGTGACGGACGCGTTGGCTTTTGCTAGGACTTTCAATGTCAAGTAGCCCGCATTCTAACCCACAAAAGGAGAATGCCAGCCTGTCTTTGCACAGGCGAGAAGAACCGTTCGATTCGATCGAACACGGCCGCCATTTTGAAGCCACCGCTTACGGTGCCACGACACAGTTCTGAAAGGTAGCTTGGGAGTTCCTGTACCCCAAAACGTTAGGTGGCCCTAGGCTGTTGCACGCGGGCGTTTGCGTGTCAATTGGGCTCGCAACGCGTGAGGACCTTGGTTGAGGGGAGAGAGAAGAAAGGGGAGGGGGACTCTTTATTGTCAAAAACCTCGTCCGGCGCTCGAGGAGCAGATCTACCACTCTTCCCCAAGCATGCGATGAACGTGCTGGGTCAGGGGTTGGGTCGGCGTTTTCTCGGCGGAGAGTTGCGAAGTGATAGATACGAGTGGTCTCGTGTGCTCCCACATTGCGTGTGTGTTGGGAGGGCAGTCTCTGCAGTGGGGGCAAAAGGGGAGGCCCCTGTGCAAAGTGTGCGTGTTGGGGTGCCGCGAGCGGGTGAGAGAGACTCCGACGAGCGACCCTGCAATTCAGCTGCAGGACGGCTGGCCGCAGCAGGACTATGGCTACCCCGGCAGCGTGCCGGCCACTCCCGTGCCGGACTACCAGCACCCGTTCCAGCTGGGGCCGCCCACGCCCCAGGGGGTGATGATGGGGCACCCCATGACGCCCCTGCACCAGCACCACACGGAGGAGGACCACCACCAGAATGCCCTGGTGAGCGGGAAAGCACCTCTCACTTTTAAATGCGTAGAATTTGCCTGTCCGTGGCAGCTAGCCTCGACAACGTCACAGTGTCGCGTGACATTGTGACATCGCACGGCACTCGTTGCAACTATGTTGCATAGTGGGCCGTTCCACTTAGCATAGTAATCTAACCTGGAAAGAAAAGAGTTGCATGTCTTTCTGGCTCTAGCAGCATTAGACAAACTTTTTAATTTGTTATATTTTGATGCTACAGAGAGCAGTAGGCACGTTTTAAATTGGCCAAGCTCTCTTTAGTTTTTGGGTGATTGCACCCAGAGCGAAATGGTGCGAGCAGTCTATCGTTCCTCCCGCCGTCCACAGTTCCCGCCACTGCAGCCGGAACCGCTCATGGAGTACCCGAGCCATCCACAGCCACCCACGCCGGCACCACCCTCCACGCCGCCCCTGATGGTCCCTCCCACCCCCGTGGCCCCACCCACCCCGATGGCCCCTCCCACTCCCATGGCCCCGCCCACCCCGGCTGCCCCGCCCTCGCTACCCCACCACCTGGCCGAGGAGCCAACCCACCCCCCGTCCGAGTTCGACGCCCTGGTGGCGGCAGCCTCAAGTTCGGCTCTGCACGGCTACGAGGAGGCGCCGCAGCCGACGCAAGCTGAGGGCGAAGCCGAGCCCCTGCCCGAGTTGCAGACGGAACTGGGGGAGGAGGAGTTGGCGGCCCAGCAGCAGCAGCAGCAGCAGCAGGCGGCTCAGCAGATGGACGACGACGACGACTACGGAGCACCGACCTCTGTCGGACCGGTGGGTGTTTTAAAGCAGTGGCTTTATAGGCTCAACCATGCTCAAGTTTGCATACCACTCGTGGCTGAAGCGTAAGATCACGTAATGCCCGTGGTTGAAGCTCCGGTTGCATAAGCGCCGGTAGCGGAGGCTGACGTGATCTGATGTCCTTGTTGTTGTCCTAGACGTCGTCCTTGAGGTTATACCCAAGCATGTCCCCGATGTGTATACGGCATATCACAACCATTTCCTCTCCTAAATGTCTCCACAGACACTGTTCCTGTAAAGCTACCACACTTCATCGCATTTGGTCTAATGAACATGCATGTAATGTTTGTTCATAGCTGTGCCAAACCCACGTTCGTATTTTCTGTCTGAAGGAGTGTAGTAGGAATGGTACCAGCTGGTAGCAATGGGAGGAACCTTCGTATGTCTGAAGGATCTCTTAAACGACCTCGCGATGGTCGTTTACACACCCAATTACCCTAACGTGAGCAACATAGTGCATTATTGCATTCTAGCTGCCTATTCCCACAGTGTAGTGCATTAACGTGTTCCATCTTCTTACATTCACGGCTCGAGTTTCCGAACCCCGTTTAACCACAAAAGCAGTTCAAGGCATTTGGTGGGAGGGTCGCCGTTTCGACCCAGGTGGAGAAACTGATGCGAGCGCGTCGTCTCGAACGATGCTCGCACTGCACGAGCGCACGCAAAACGCGGCTTTCGCTCTCGTAAGTTAACGTAAGACGGGAGTAGACGCCACCCTCGTGTCATGCAGTCCACCATGTTAACGCCCCCAAATTTTGTCGCCAGCGTTCCATTTCTTGCCAACTCCAACGCGTCCAACCGTTCCCATTTCTACTCTCCCCCAGCCTGACGAGCAGCTGGCAGATGAGACATACGAGCAGTTCGAGGAGCGCATCCTGAACAAGCGCACGGTGCACATGCTGCACACGATCCGCACGCCCCTGGAGTGCGGCCGCCGGGTGGTGTTCAGCGACCTGGCGCGCAACTGCAACCGCAAGCAGGTGGGTGGCACAATGGCGGCGAGGTGCCCAATAAGATGCGGAGAGCGCCCTCGTCGGTCTGTTTTCCGACCGGCTTTGTCTGCTCTCCCCCCCGCAGGTGGCGCAGAAGTTCTACACATTCCTGGTGCTGAAGAAGCAGCAGGCTGTGGAACTCAGCCAGGACGGTCCGTACGCGGAGCTCTACATCGAGCGGGGCCCCAAGTTCGAGCAATCGCTCTAGCAGGCGCCCCAGGTCCGACGCTGCCACTCTCACTTCCTCTGTACATAGCTCGGGGGCCAGTCTTCTCTCCAATTCGATTCTATTTCTTTTTCTTTTTTAATCGCCGCTACTAACCATTTCGTTTGTCGCTCTTTTAGGTTTTAGTCTATCGTTGAGATGTGTCTTCTCGAAGTGTAAATGAGGCGGCTGGGGGCGGGACGGGGAGGCGTTTCCCCTCTTTTACTCCGGCGTTTTATCCCGGAGTTGGCATACCTAACTTTGCTCCTCGTCCCGACGACCGTCCGTCTGCCCCTTTTTTTAAAGGATCGCAGGGATCCGACGGTTCTGCTGTACATAAGGGGCCGCAAACGTGCAGATCCGACGCGGAAATTTGAGGTGCGGCGCGATGCTGGCCGACGGCAGCTGGTTTTTAAGCGTAGGTGGTTTGGATTCTGTACGCCCGACGAGGAGTGCACTTGTTTTACTCGTTTTTCCCTACGCAAGCGCTTTAAATTGACGCGGCGTTCACCGCGCGGTTGCCGCGTCGAATCGGGAGTGCCAAACGGGAACTGGGACGGCTCGCAGCGGACGGTCAATTTAGCCCGACCGATTTTTACGGAGAAAAATTTTAAGGTTGGCGAGGGAGGGTTTTGGTACCTCGAATATTCTTATTGTGAAGCGCGGCATTTTAGAAATAAGCCGGGAGGTCGGTAGAAACCCGCGTTGAAACTGCACTGGTCGGAAAGCAACTTCCGTAGCCGCGAGGCTTTTTTTCATTCTTATGTCAAGGGCACGAAAACTTTGATCGTGGCAAATTTACCTTTGCCCCAGCACACTCAGTTGCGACTTGCCTCAATTTCGGTTTCCGTTTGTGTCTCGCGCCGTTTCGTCTGCATTCCATCTGCCGAGGTTTTTCCTCCCACCTGCTGTCGATGGATTGCTCCCTAATTTACAAAGAGCATCGTGTTTCTTCTCGCAGAGCGCATTCTTGTCAAGTGGGGGGTTTGTGTGTGTACATTTGATGGAGGTTGAGGGTATTACTCCAGTGTAAATAGTCCATTTACGAAACACATTGAAGGCTACGTGCACGTTCGGCTGCACATGCAATTTTCCCGAGTCGCACCTCTTCGCGTAAAAGTGCAGCGCCTCGTTTGCTCGTAACCTCGTTCGAAACCCGCGGGAGATCTCGTTTTTTGGTCGCGTCCATCGAAGCGCGCGAGAGGTATGCTGCATTCGACCCAGGCGAGAAATGTTTAGTGTGTTTTGCTTTCTTTTGTTTTTGCATCTTTTTTTTTTTTTTTTCTGGATATGAAACAAAAAGCTGTTGTGAATATTCTACGATAAAAAGCCGGTTGTCGAACTGTCGCGGCGAAGACGTTCTACAAAGTTGTAAATTCATGTCAACGAGTCGCGAGTCGTTTGGAAGATAAACATTGATTCACCCGAACCACTCCATTTGCTCGTGCATTATTTTCGCGGGACTCCCGCTCGAACAAATGTTCGGGAGTCGAACTCGCGCACTAGCGACGCATTTCTTGTTACAGCGATCCATGTAACCACGGTACGTTCAGTGTTGCAGTCTCAAACCCTGCTCACCCCACACCCTTGGCAACACAAACCACCACCTTCGTTGAGGCGATTTGTGTGGCCAAAGCTCGACAGACGGTGCACATGGTGAGATGCGCTTCTGATACTGGACAAAATCAGAGTGTTCCGCATGAGAGAGAAAACACAAAGAACTGGATTTGTCACAAATCCAAACAAGCTCTGTCGGTGGGCAAACGATGCACCATAAAATACCGAGCTCGTGCACATGTTGCAATAGGTGGCTGTCCGCTACTTTTGAAGTGTTCGAAAAATGAGCAAAGGAAATCAAGTGCCCACCCCAGGGCCATGCAGCTAACTGAGATGCACCGTTGGATCAACCATTTCTCCAAGCACGCCAGTACGTAGCAGAGAAGCTTCTTGCACTGGTGAAATGCACTTATTAGGCACCCCCCTAGATTTTTTCTTTTGCTCCTAAGTGCCCCGCCCCAGTCCTTCCAGATTATCTGAAAATTTTTGGCAAGCGTTTGCTCGGTATTTTACGGTTTTCAATGCAGTGACATGGGCTCTCGGGTTAAATCCCTTCATGTCGAAGGAGAAGCTGTGCGCTTAGATTTATTTTCTGTCCACTGTATCGAAGGTTGTTTTTTTACGTAAGGAATCGGTAGATTTCCGCCTGCCACAGAAAAGGCAAGGCAGCCATTGCTACGATTGGCAGACACTGCCACCTTTGTTCACCTGCCACAGCCCACCAGCACCTGCTTGCAGCAGTCCTCCAGGTAGCACAGTTATTTGGGCCAAAATTTGGTCTTTGTCTGAGAATTTAGGGTCTTGGGAAGCTAGGGTGAGCCAAGCTCGACTTTCCTTGGCCAGTCTGGATTTCTTGTCCCTCCTTTGCCATACAAGTGCCAAAGTTAGGCTTCACTGCTGGTAGTTTGCTGTTATCTTGCATCTTTGGGCCTAAATTGCCAAACAAGTGCCAGAGTTAGGCATCCCTTGTGGTTGTTTGGTTTTTATGTGGCAACTTTGGGCCTGAATTGCCAAAACGAGCACCAGATTTCAGGCTTCACTGCTGCTTCTTCGATTCGTACGTAGCATCTGTGGCTCAAGTCTAACACTTTGGCGATTCTGTGGCAGGCCAAAGAAAAGCCATAGAAACACGAAAGGGAGTACGAAAGAACCGCCTAATTTGTGCCAAATTAGGCGGTTCTTTCGTGTGCTACCAGGGAGCTTTCCGTGAGAGACCCGCTCACGGACATTGGTTTGTACATCTCTGGCTCCTTGTGCAACCGCCATAATTTATTTCTGTGACACCACATTTGATCGGACTGTGTGTGGTTGACCTGTGACTCGCCGACGGGCTGATGGTGCGTGCCCGTTCAATCGCCCTTGGCTTCCAGCCGATGCGAGAGCTCCTGGGCCCTCTTGGTGGCGGCCTCCACTGCCTCGGCGAAGGCGCCCCGCGTGCTCCGGTTCTCCAGGCAGTGGACGCCGTAGATGGTCGTGCCGCCGGGAGAACACACATTGTCCTTGAGCTCTTCGGGGTGAAGCTTGCTCTCTAGGGCCAACTTGCCGGCACCCTGAGCATAGAGGGACGTCAGTCACCCAGCAGTCCCACAAAACGACCCGGGGGAAACTGCCGAGTATAGCCCCTGCCGGTGCTCTCTAGAGAAGACTGTTGTAGATTTGTCGCGTGTGCTAAGGACTGATATGGCAACAAAAAAAGGACGAAGGTGGTGCAAGCTGGTGGGCAGGGGTTTGTTTATGTACAGAAACAACCTGCAGCATTACAGCAGGGAAACAAAATAAACACATAATCACAATGGCAAAACACAATAAATACTGTTAAATAAAACACAATCTTTTGAATGTTCACAATTTAAGACTTCCAAAACAAAACGATGTGCAAATGATCTACAATGGCACTGTGGTTCTTGAAACTGCATGTTAAGGCATCTAAATTTAGTTGTGAAAGATGCCACAGTTTAAACTGTATATGAATGGTATGGTACTTTCTTTTTTATTTATTTTTTGCACTACTCTGCATATTTTTATTTGAAGTTTGAAAATCTCGGAAGTTCTAAAAGGGTACAGTGCGAATGATGATGAGAAAACTCAAAATTTCGATCGTTCTAACCGATTATTGCTGTATCTGGACTAGAAACTGATAATTTCCAGTCTAGAAACTGATCGTTATAATCGGTACATTCTTATATTGTATTGTTATAAGTGGGTTGCAGTGTACATATGCCACTGATAGCTTGCATTTCTTCCTAGAAAGGTAAAAGTTCTAGCTAGAGCACAGCTCAACTAGGTGCAACATTTTAACTTTAAGAGCAAGCTGACAAAAAAAACAAAAAAAACATTACCATAATACATAGAGCAAGAGTGTACCCAAGATTTGGATGTAATTGTGAAAAAACTGGGACATCGGTGCTGGCTAGGTCAAAGGGAAAAAATGCAGGAAGGTCACACAATAGGGTGGGCTTTGCCACTTTGCACTAGTGCAACCGTGTAAAGCTTCACTGCTTTAAACTGGTAAACTCTCCCCCTCCTCCCAAGATCAGCTGCGCCAAGAGGCATGCGGCCCCCTTTGTTCCCTGCGCGGTCGGACGGGTGTATTCAGTGCCCTTCTCGTGCGGGGCAGAGTACATCGGACAGACGGGCCGCTGCCTCAACGACCGCCTGCGCGAACATGAGAGAGAAATCGAAAAAAACGACGAAGACTCCCAACACCCTATGGTCCATCACCTCAAGGCTTGCGCTCCATGTGCCCCCGAGTTCCCGTCCGCGCGTGTTCTGGGGGCCAACAAGAACCGCTACGGGCGCGAGACCGTGGAGGCGTTCGCCATAAAAGAGGCGCCGAAGAACATTTCCTCGGCCTCATTGTCGCTGTCCGAGAGAGAGGTGACATTCCTGAGACCGGAGTTGACGGCCTTGGCGGGCCGGGCGAGCGCCCCTTGCTCCTGAGAGGGAAATCGGGATGCTTCCTTCCTTCCTCTCCTTTCCGCTGTCTCTGCGCTTTACTTTCCCCAGTTTTTCTCCCGGGTCCTTGTCTTGCCTTGCCCCCCCCCCCCCCCCCCCCCCCTCCGCCCTCCTTCCCCTTCCCCCTCCTTTTAACTTTCCCTCTCTTATAGTGGAGCTCCGAAGGCAAAGCGTCCGGCAATAAATTCATTTGTTTGTTGAAAGTTGAAAGATGTGTTGTCCCGTCCCCTGTTTTTACGTATATAACTCTTTCTAAACCTACAACTTCACTGCTTTGCGTCAGTGTGCTTGGAGAAGCTGCCAATGTGGTGAGCTTAGAAGTCCGGGATGGGCACTTGACACATCCTTTGCTTATTTTCCGAACATTCCAAACGTAACGGAATTTTCCGAACATTCCAAGAGTAACGGGAGGGCACAATTGTTGCGACATGGGCACATGCTCAATGTCTTACGGTAAATGGTCTTTCAAATAATGTTTTCATGTCCTTACCATCACCGTCTGAGCAGCAAGCTTTAGAGCTAGCTGCCGTGGCACACCCATCTTCACCGCGCCGTCGGCCATGCCTTGAATCACCAAGAACACCTGGCGGCAGAAGCACGCTGTTCAAACACTGGACCCTTTTCAGGTCGACGATGCGTAGAATTGGGAGGTGACAAGATCAGAAACCCTGAGGGAAAGAAATTGCAAGTGGGGCTTAACCCTCTGACGGTTAAGTCTTTTTCCCCAAAACGTTGCCCAATGGTCGGGTTTTGTTTCCAAAAGAATGATACAAAGAAAGAGTTAATGCACAGTTTTCTCTTTTTTTTTTTAAATTATTGACATTGCTTGCAACCTGTCCAGTTTTTAAATTTTAGGCATTGCATTGGAATATTCAACGTGATAAGTCTATGTCTTACTTCCATTTGGTTTTATTTTGGCATAACGTGCAACATTTGGGCGGTCTCGGACTCCGAACCGGAGGTACTTTACACTGCTTCTCCATTGGATGATGAGCTCTTGTCCTCCAAATGAAATTCTAAGAACTGTCCGAAATGTTATTCTTTCTGTCTTCTTTGTACAAAAACCAACACACTCCCCAGTTTAAAGCGTAAGCGTGATTTAGAACTAGCGCTACCGCTACCACCAGAGCAGCAGACTTGCAAAGTGACCATCTCATGTGTATCGCGGGGGGGCAGCGCCTAATTTCAAACCTATAAATAGCCCCAGCAAAGCGAAACACCGCGCAAATGCACCGTTTCTAGCTCGCCAAGGACGCAAACAAATGGAGGGTCGCCTCTCGCGTTGCGGGCAACGTGCGACAAGCAAGTGTGGGAGGGGGCACTAACGTAGGCCGGCCCGCAGCCGCTGAGCCCGCCCACGGCATCCATGAGGTTTTCGGGTACCTCCTCGCAAAGGCCCACGCTGCCGAGCAAGCACTTGACCGCCGCCACGTCTTCGGCGTCGGCACCCGGGCCACGGCAGAGTGCGCACACGCCCGCCTTCGCCGCCGTCGCCGTGTTGGGCATGCAGCGCACGATCCTGCAGTGGGCAGGCAGCACCTGGGGGCAGGTCGGGACGGCTCACGAAAGGCAACTTATCGCTGCACGGCTGCTGCAGTGTTTCGAAGCAGCGGCATGATAGACCCTTTCCGAGATTCAGTCGGGCCACTGATCACTATCGTCATCTGAGGAATGGCATGTGTGCCTGCTACTGGCGGCCTTCTGCTTACTGATCAAGGAAGAGGGTGAATATGTTCTGAAGTGGATGATGCGAGGCCTATACATTTGAAACGTTAGTACGACGTGACGTGGGAATTGATGATTTGCTGACTGCAGTGTGGCAGCCATTGTACAACGCCAAAAAGAATTTGGGCTTCGTTGCTGCAGAAAGGTTGCATATTGAGGCTTAAAGGGATGCTGAACCGAAATCTGAATTCCACAAAACACGGCAGCAAAAGCGTGCAACGGGATGCTACAAGCACTAAAACATTACTCATAAAACAATATCTCCAACGGATCACCATATTTTTCGAAAAAAGGAGGAGCATTTGACAGATATGTTTACGTCTTGTTTCTCCGAGAGGGAGAGAAAACGGCCTCAGGTCTTCTCCACCTCGCCGCCTTGAGGGGGCGAAGCGAAGAGAGGAGGAAACGAGATATCTTGACGTCACGCGCCTCGTCCAATCTCGACTTCTTTTTCCAAAAATACGGCCGTCCATTTGAGATATCGCCTTACGAGTAGTGTTGTAGAGATTGTAGCGTCCCGCCTACAGCTCCTGCATTGTTTTCTGAAATCCAAATTTCGGTTTACCATTTCTTTAAAGGAGAGATCCGGCAAGAGAATGATGGTCATCGGTTCTTACAAAATTTCCACCAGGTACTAAAATGAATGAATTTTGTTGTTTACGCATACACCTCCAAATTGCTCACTGCCGCTTTACCAGCTGCAACGAGCAGGGGCACTCGTGACGTCAAATGTTGTATCGGAGAGCAGACAACACTCCCTCCTCCACGGCATTGTGCGTTGCAGCGATAACTAGGGCCTGCGGATTTGCAAATTGCATCTGGTTGGCGGCATACGATAGAGGTGAGGGGTGGAGGGAATCGGTGATTGGCTGTGGGGTGCAAAACAGCACAAAGAAATGCCACAGTGACATCTTGGTTTCTGACCGAGACGTGTCTGAGACGCAAGCCTGTCTGAGCGATCTGACGCGAATACTGGATCCTAGCATTCGCGTTGTGCTAGAAAACAGTTCACACCGTGCTAGGAAATGAAGCCTTCCATGCTATTCTGCTTCAAAGCAGCATCCGGGTCCACATGTCGAAAGAACGCGAATGCAGCCTTTGGTAATTGGCACATTGTCCCATTGGATCACTAGCACAAGCCTGCTGCCAAAAAGTGCAGTCCGATTCTTCGTAAGGCTGTTACCAACATTTGGACTAGTTAAGTTAGTATGCCACATTTTAGGGTCATTCAGGCTTACTTTGGCAAGATGCGACGTCTTCACTGCAGCGGCAATGCTGATCACGAGGTGGCGGGAGGAGACGTGGGGTCCGATTTCTGCCGCCACCTGGTCCACAAAATGGGGCTTGACGCAGATAAAGATGATGCTGCACTTTCCAGCCACCTCGGCATTCTGGTTAGTGACGTTGATGCCTTTTTCCTGGACGAGACAGAGAGGGAGCAGCAGTGGGGTTCATCACATGCTGCTCCAGCGGGGTTCACAAGCAACAACCTTGACATGATCCAATGTCTCGGGCAAGGAGGTTAGAAGTACTAGGAGGGGGCACGTTACAATATTGGTGAAGCCTATAGTCATAAAAAGTTTAAACGATTTTGTGCCCAGCGTGATCGCAGATCTCTCTGGCGATTGGTGTGCGTGACATGTCACGTGTGAGATGGATGGTTGATTGTAGAAGGACTCCTTGCAGGCTTGCGCGCGCTCCGTCCGGTAGGTTTTATCAGGTCGAAGTCTAGACTGTGGTGTATTCTAGTACCCCATAGGTAGACAAAAGCTAGCTACGGTCACGTGATGTGGTCACGTTGGCATGGTAAGTGAGGAGAGTAAGGAGGAAAATGAGAAAGAGGCGAGGCGTCAAGGGAGCATGGCTTGTGGAGGCTACGCGGCCGACGTCATGCCCTCTCCTACCCTTCTATTCTCCACGGTCTCGGGTCTCTGAGACACTAGGGGGGTGGGGTCGGTCCAGCAGAGAGGCCAAAGGCCCATACCAGGTAGCCCGCAAACACCCGTCCCCCCCTCCCTCCCCCCACGCAAAAAAAAAAGGGGGAGGGGGTGGGAGAGTAATAACAACTACCACTATGTATACAGACAACAAGGATTATAGTAGTATTTCAGCATCAATAGTTAATGACGCTGATGTAGTTAATGCAAAAATGCTCACTAACCTTCAGCAGCCTCAGGTTTCTGTCCGACGGAGCGCTGGCCCAAACATGTCTGGCCTGCAAACCTACGTCAAATAAAGCTGCAGTCACTAATCACACATCGTACAAAGGACAAGGTGTTCGCTGCAAACAGGATGACATCATTAATACACGATGACATCACACAAGCTTATTCGAAGGATGTTTGCATCATGCGTATGTATGGTCCCAGCATGCTTGCAGGCAGTTCGGAAGTATGACGATAGGGTGTCACAAATGAAAATTTACACGCTCTTTTTTACCGCAAAAATAAACTAGGCGTCGCCGAACGCTCATTCTCCGCCCAAAGGTAGAGCTAGAGGTCACAATCAGATGCCAAAGTTTCAGCCCGATCCGATCACTTAATCAAAAGTTATAAGTGATTTTCTGAAATTTTCAATGGGAAAATGGCGGCCGACGGCGTTTTCAAACACATGGGGCTCTATGGCACCAGAAACCGAAAACGGGCGAAAATGGGCTCCATTTTCCCATTGAAATTTTCAGAAAATCACTCATAACTTTTGATTGAGTTATCGGATCGGGCTGAAACTTTGGCATCTGGTTGTGACCTCTAGCTCTATCTTTGGGCGGAGACTGAGCGTTCGGCGATGCCTAGTTTATTTTTGCGGTGAAAAAGAGCGTGTAAATTTTCTTTTGTGACACCCTGTACATGTATTTGGCAGAAACGAGTTTCCCGAAATTACATTACCCGCTTCCATAATGCCTGCAATGATGCTCTGAGCCATGTTTCCGGCGCCTATGAAGCCTACGTCTTCTATCTTCCGCGCCATGGCTCACCGACTTTTCGATGCCGAAACAAAACTGTAACCAAACGACCAAGCGATAGCAATTTCTTTCGCAAGGAGCAGACGATCAGTCAGTCGTACCATCAGAGGCTAGTTCCGTACACTACAATAATAATAAAAAAAACTGCGTGCTTTGTGAAACATTATACAACAAAAATAATAACATATTTATAACGCAAATTTTTCGTTTTTATAAAAGATTAAACTTTCAACAGCGATTGGTAGATACGAGAGTGCGGGTGCGATATTAATCCCGGCTGAAACTGAAACTGCCGCAACTCCCGAGCTTTCTGGTGCGGCGTTCGCCCGTTCGACTCCTACGTTTGCGTTGCCAAAGCTCAGAAATTGCACGGAGAAGACTGAAAATGACCCGCGGACTGTTGTTCGGCACCAGCTCTGGCAGCCAGAGCCACAGCAAGTACCTGGTCGAATTCCGAGCGGGCAAGATGACCCTGAAAGGCAAGATGGTCCACCCTGACAAGCGCAAGGGTACCGTGTACGTCCATCAAAGTGACGACTCACTCATGCACTTCTGCTGGAAAGATCGCACCAGTGGTGCTGTCGAGGATGTAAGTACTCGTTTCTTCGGTGGGTGTCTGGAAATAAGCGTAGAACGAGTCTACTTTTCTCTTTCGTGTGTTCGGGGTTCGGTGACGTTTTCCTAAGCCTACATACACACATCGGAGCGTTTTTAATGCCATGTTTTTTTTTCCACACTAGGATCTTATCATTTTCCCTGACGATGCCGAGTTCAAAAAGGTGGCCCAGTGCACGACGGGGAGGGTCTACGTTCTCAAGTTCAAGTCCTCGTCCCGGAGATGCTTTTACTGGATGCAGGTGACTGCGCGTCCAAAACTGCCGAGTCATCGCTCACTTACCTCGCTGCTAACCGCCATTCAGTGCTGGATGATGGATGTTAACGGCTGTAACTGTTATAACAGGCGATAGCTTGCGCCACCTAACCTTAAGAGCCAGGTAATTTACATCTTAGAAACCAGTGTGCCCTTCTTCCTTGCGTTGGCCTTTGTGGAGGCTCGTCAATGCCCGTTTCAAGGCAAATTCACACAATGCATCTTTTCAACGCGCCACAATTTAAGGAAACTGAGATTTCGCGAAATCGGCATGTTCACACGTGGAGTTTGACGTGCGAAAGGTTTGGCGAAATCCTCGCGAGTCAATACGTCACACTTACGAGAATTTCGCCAAACCTTGTCATCTGCCCCGGCAATGTCAAGCGTTTCACATCAAAATGATATGAAGCACGCACATTGTGAAGATTCAGTCTGTTTTATTAATACCACTCAATGAACTTCGTCAGATTCGGATCACTGAGTTCACTAGTCCTGCCAAACCCGGGAAAGGACGCGAACGTCAAAGAACAGGCGGATCATCTCAAAGCATTTCGGACATTTCTGCACTGCTGATAAAGAAAGTTATCCCCAGCCATCATGTTTATATGCGGTGCTTGCACTCGTCGCCCTTGTTGATGAATCTGCTCCGTGCCACCAACCCGTACTGCTAAAGCGCCGTTCACATACCTACAACCGAGTAGAACCAAGACTCATCGCCCGTACGCACCACTTCTTCGCTTGTTGCTCGCCATGTTTGCTTTTCTTTTTCCGGCTTTAGCTCGGATACGGAATCGGCCAAAAATCAATCTCCTCCAAAAGCTTGCTCCGCATCGAAGGTCAGACGTCGTAGCGAAGTCGAGCGGCCATTGGCAGCGTCCGGATCTCTCCTGGTGATTGACAGGCCTCGGTGAGGTTTCAGTGAAAAACTGCTCCAAAAGCGAGGAACACGCGCCACTTTTTTCGGAGGGGCGCCAGTTTTTCGGTCACGTTCCCGAAACCTAGTTTCGCGACACAAGATTCGACAACAAGATGCATAGTGTGAATAGACCTTAAGTGGCTCGATATCTCAGGCGAGGGAAGTTCAACAATGGCGGCTATAATCTGACGAGTTTATTTTGTTTTCTTGTTGACGATTTTTTTGGTAGTTCAGACAGTGCCCTGATTGGTCCTGGTGTGACCAGTTGGGATGCAGCAGGGGTCTGACCGACCAATCATGGCCCACGTAGGCGTTCATGTGAACAATTGGGGTACATCAGTGTCCTGGCTGGCCGTTCGGCGTGCAGATTGCCCACATTTTGCAGAAGGGAAAAAAATCTGCTGTTCCGCCAGCATCACATAGGAGATGCTGACGGTACTTCCACATATTTTTTGCTGGTTTCTTTAACATAGCTACGAAAAAGGCACTGTACAGTCTCCTGCAATATGAAAGACCCACTAGGAGCGCGTGGCCGAGACGGCGACTGGTGGGGGTGCTGTGCGCGCTCTGGGCTTTTCATTTCACCCCGAGGGGAGCACTCATTCGGGGCTTGACTAAAGTACAATGCGCGCTTATCAGTTTCTGGTTTTGGTATTTCAGTGGAGAGCAGTTGGTCAGTGACATGTCATGGCTATGTCCCACTAATGCCACAACAGGCCTGAGCCAAGGCGATTATTCTGACTGTTAAAGTGCGAGATCCTTTTAACAAACTACTTTCCGCGGTGCCGCGGCTCTTCAGAGCCGAATAAAGGCATTACATTACAAATGCACGCTTCAAAGCATTTTATCTTTTAAATATTGGACTCGGGATAACTCTAATCGTATATTTGGCACTGCCTGTGCTGACATTTTACACCAGAAGCTACTGATAAAAACAACAGTGATGTCTATGCTTGCTTTGAGCCTTTGTGACCATATCTGTGGGCATGACGCTGATGAAGCGCACTCTTCCGCTAAACCAAAACCAAAGGCTGTTAAGAGTGTTCAGGCTCAGCAGGCCCGGTTAAGCCTGAGTAACGCCCACTTCAGATGAGGCAACTTTCGCAGCAATTTCGGCGTTGCTGGCGGGTTGTTTCCTAGCTTTCCCTAGACCCAGGCACGTAGCCAGGATTTTGTTTCGGGGAGGGCCCGCCCATGACAAAATGCTGTTTGAGGGGGAGGGGGAGAGGAGGTTCCAGCAAAATGGAAGATTTTGGGGAGGGGGGGGCAGGCCCCATGGGCCTCCCCCCTGGCTACGTGCTTGCTAGACCGACACGAATTGCTGAAACCGGGTCCGGCTCAAAACAAGCGAACAGCTCGGAGCAACTTGAAGACGTTTGGAGCGGCAGCAGGCCAATCAGGGACGCAATGTTTTTATGTGATGCCTTGGACCGGTGATGGTGACAACTAAAGATTTAATTTGATGGTTTGAAATTGATTTTTTTTTTTTTTGGAAATAAGCCGTTTTAGAAAGATGAGTTAGTACTCTCAACACCATTGAAATGTATAAAAAATATGTTTATAGCATGAAACTATGTGTTTAAATAGTGCAAGAAAAATAAAATTGAATGATAATGATAGCAAATTGCAGCAATTGTTTGCTGCGTGTGAATGCGGGTGGTCCGTGTGTCTGGTGTTGAGTTCTCAAGTTGCCAAGAGAAATTACCTCGTCTGAAGTGGGTCTAAAGGCCCGTTGACACACTTGCGCTTGACTCCGACAGACTAAGACAACACCGGTTTTTAGGTTCTCGTGATGGCTTACGACCAGCTGCATTGCTGTGCATTCAGTCGTAATTTGTTCTAAGAGGCTTAAAAACCGCTCTTGTCTCAGTTGCTCGTAGTCAAACGCAAGCGTGTGAACGGGCCTTTAGACCCCTTGAAACGGAACGGAATCGCCCAGAGTGCAAGCATTGCCCCCGTCCGCCGTAGTCTTCGTCACGTGCGCCCAGTGGGTCTTTCATATTGCAGGAGACTGTAAATAGGAAAACACATTCAGAGTTTAGACAATCAGTTGTGGTGGGGCATAGAAGATTGTGTCCCAAAATGAGATCAACGAATATGCTCTCATCCGCGCAGTCATCTTAAAGCTGGACACAAGCTCTCGGTGTCCGACTGTCTGCTTGGAACAAGTCAAGTGGACAATAAAATGGTGCGAAAAAGACACTGGGACACGCACAGAAAGTACACAGACATTCGTCCCTGTGTCCCATCTTATTTTTCTTGTATCATGTACTGACCTTCTCAACTACCATAAAATACCGGAGAGTGCCCATCCCATTTTAACTGAAAACTGGATTAATCTAGTCCTGCTCTTGTCCGGTAAAATTGGGCGCTTAATGTATAATTTGCGTTTGCTAAGTGGGAAGGGTGCGGGAGGGACTTGTCCCAGTTTTCTTAAATTGCAACAGGGTATAGAGGGGCCTAGTTTATAACAGCCGTACGAAAATGCGTGTTTACCTGGTCTGTGGCCAAACAATTTGTCTGTACACCAACATGCTGTTTACAAACAAGCTTGCATTTGCCCATACTGGGTGTAGGCACCATGCGCGTGCTAAAACCAGGTTTCTCTCGAGACTAAGCGTGTGCGCAGTGCCGACAGCGGCGTCGCCACTCTCACACAGCGTCGGAGGGTCGAATCGGTGCGTTCATATTAACGAAGAAGGACCAGAAACGTCGAAGGAAGCACGACCGAAACCCCGTGGACGTCCGCACGCAGGAGCCCAAGAACGACAAGGACGAGGAGCTCGTGCGCAAGGTGAATGAGTTCCTGAACAACCCGCCCATGCCGGGGTCGTCCCGGGGCGGCGCTGGAGGGGCCGGGGGCTCCGGCACCAGCCTCCAGTCTGACCTGAACAACATCGGGGATGAGGAGCTGCAGAATCTGCTCAACAACATGAGCCAGCACCAGCTGGTGCAGCTGCTCGGTGAGGGCCCGGACCCCTGGGGATGCCGTCGGGTATTTGACTCGGGCAAACATGTGGGACGCACGCGCAGTTCGTATGCCACTGCAAAGTAGTCGTCACAACCGTCGGTCGTTGAAGGGAAAGAACTACATAATTCTGAAACGTCGCCCACTCCAATTTTTTTGTCGGACGTCACGCGACGTCTTACGGGAGCCTGAGCTCGCTTCGAGCATCCCCGGTGTCCTAAAAAGTGGTTCCTCGATTTCCCTTCGATGAAGACGTAGAAGCGTCACTCTGTCGCCAGCCGCAGCGGCGGTGATGAATGTGGCGTATTCTTTCCGAGCGTTCGTGAAGGCTGTGCAACCTTTCTCGCATCTCGAGGAATGGCACTGCTACTGACCCTGATTAAATACAGTACTCAAAGGGACGGAACAAAAAGATGAAATGCAGGACAAACACTCGCTGTTTTTCATAGTGTTCGACGATCACCAGCTTAGCACCTTGATACTAACTTGCCCACCGGCGATGCCAGAAAGGTGGCTGCCGACACACTCGAGGCACCTTTTCAGTTGCTATTGCTCAGTCGTGGTCCTTCAATTGACTGTTCCTTTTTTCGTATATTTTAGGCGGCATCGGGGGCATGAGCGGAGTAACCAACTTGAGTTCCCTTCTGGGCAGTAGCAGACCTTCGAGCCAGGGGTGAGTGTCTCCATTCCATAAGTGCATATATGCAGAATAGAAAAGTGGCAGTATGGTGTATGTCGGGACAGTTTTCATTGCCAGAGCACCACATAGCACACAATGCTATGAAAAAAAAAATATATATATATATATATTTACTGCAGTATTACTTTTCCCTCCCTCTGATTAAGGCTAAATAGGGTAAAGTGGGTGGGCACAGTTTGTCTGCAACTCGAAGCTGCTCTAGACAATACCATGAATAAAATGAAAAAAAAAAAAAAGCTAGAATAAAAAGAAGAGCTTTGTATATTCAATTGCCTTCTGAACTGTCAACAGAAAAATCTTTACTGTTGTCAAAACTTACACGGCCCACCCCGTTGCGTTAACCGGCCAAATCCAGGCAGCGCGTCTTTCTAGAAATGGGCTATGTTCCTGAGTTTTCTTTTTCAAGAAGCAAAGACTAGGTGTAAAACAGGAGCTGGGCCTCTTTGGAGGTCGGTCCATCTTTCTAGGTACTATGCCAGTCACAACTCCGGGCTATGTAACGAAAGTGTTCCTTTGTTGCACTTTCATTTGTCTGTACAATGTGCTCTGAGGGTTTGAAGTCAAAACAAAGGGAGTATTCACCTTGACAGATCTATCGCATCAAGGTGGACACTTCGGTCTAAGGAATACTAAACAAAATAAACTGCTTTGCAAACATACGTGGAATGCATGCTTCCAGTCGCCATATTGGATTTCGTCTACTTCGTCTTCCGCTTGGCACTCTGGTTTGTCTGTTGTCTTCTTTTTTTTCCCCTGACTGGTAGGGTTCTAATGCTCGTAGTATATTTCTAGTACAGTACACTCTCAATAATTCAAACTTCAGGAAGCCACGAATTTTGTTTGAATTATCAGAAATTCATCTAAATATGATGGAAGATAAAGTTATGATTTGCCGTGCACATGCAAAGCAGATATTTGATGATTTGTCCTACATAGGCCTACTGATCATAAGCACTAATGATCATAAACACAAATGTTTCATGTTGTGAAATGTATGACATATGCTTATTTATCTCTAAAAGATATGAAAGACGTTTACAATCCTCTGTAATGCGAAACTGGAGTGCAGCTTTCGAGGAGGAGGGGAGGGTGTGCCTTTCCTCCCCCTCTGTAACCTCCCTTCTCCTTGCCTCCCATTTAGCAGGAAATATAACGAAAATTTCCCGCTAATTTTAGTGGGAAATATAGCAGGTATATTTTCGCTAAAATTCCTGCTAAATTTAGCGGTAAGATTTTTGCTAAATCTCCCACTAAATTTAGCGGGAAATTTTTGCTAGGTTTTCTGCTTAATTTAGTAGGAATATTAGTGAAAATTCACTTGCTAAATTTAGCGAAAATTTACCTGCTAAATTAAGCAGAACAATTTTCCCACTAAATTTAGAGAAAAAATTTTCCCGCTATATTTAGCGGGTCAAGTTTCCCCGCTAAATTTAGCGGTAAAATTGATGACGCGCGACCTCAACACCAGTTCAGTTTCTCTGCTAAATTTAGCAGGTAAACCATGACATTGTATAATGCAACGTGCGCGATTAAGCTGACGCCGACGAACCCAGAAAGGGGTGCCTAAGAGCTGCGCTCTGAAACGTTTATTGTGGACCTTTTGGACAGCACATGACAACTCAAAACAAAATTAAGTTCGTTCATCAGGCCAACAAGTTGTCTTTTGTGGACTACTAAGCAGGGGACCCATGACCGATGAAAAAGGGCACTGCACGTTAGTTTTAATAACTTTGCATGGACGCTGTGATGGTGGACGTTGCTATGGAAATTTCCGCTGAAGTTGCTATGGAAATTTCCGCGTGGTGCCCGTTTTCGTAGCTCGTGTGTGCCCTGCTTGAGCCACGTTGAGTGCGCTTCTCACCGGGCACCAGTGCACTGAGGAGAAGCAGCACCTGTGGAAGCAAGCTCCACAAGTGTTGCTTCTCTGCAGTGCACCGGTGTTCGGAAAGAAGCGCACTCAATGGGGGCCGCAGAGAGAAAAAGTATGAATTACACAAAACTTACCGTTCTAATTAAGCGGCTTATGAATACATTAAAAACATTGTGGAACAGCCAAAATTTTGAAATTTGCTTTAATTAACCAGAAGTATGAAATATCCGAGTTTGAATTACTGCAAGCCTACTGTATTGTTCGTATCAGTGGCATAGGCATAGGGGAAAGTTAAAAAGTCAACCCCCCCCCCACACAAAAAAAAAGAAATTGCGCTGGTTTTGCATCTGAGAGCGCTATTGCAATCCGTTCAGTGCCGGATCCGCGAGCGCTGCCGCCAATTCCTCCGACACGGCTTCGGCCGCGGCCGCTCCCGCTACCCCGGCCACCACCGCGAGCACCGCCACGACGGGCAACACGTCGACAACTTTGGGTGCCGCTGAGACTGCCACCACCACCACCACCACCACGACAGCGGCGGCAGCAGCTTCCGCAACGACCACTCCGGCGGCCGGCAGCAGTGCCGCGAGCAGTGCCGCCATCCAGCTGAGCGACCTGCAGAACATCCTCTCCGGAATTAAGGGTGAGGTGGAGGTCTCTGACTGGCAGGGTTGCCAGGTGGGGCTATAAATAGCCAAGTTGGGCTACCTTGTTATTGTAGTTGGCTTGAAAATCTGGTGTTTGGCTCTTTGGCTATTATTGGGCAATATCATATTAAACTTCCAAAATGAGCCATTTTGGACAGATGTAGGAAAAGTGGAAAGTTGATTCAAGAGACCAGGTAAACAAATTATCCGATTAACAAGTTGGATATTGTATAAATATGCCCTCAGTGGTTTGGGTCGGGGAGTATTTATCTAGGGTTTCCTCCATGTTCTTGTTGTTTTTTAGAAAGCCACAGTCTCTAATAAATTAACCTTGTTTAACTTGCATTAAAGAGAAGCTACGGAGCTTCTTGAAAAAAATGAGTTAGAAGTGAATTCTAGTGTATTTTTACCTTATGAACCCGAATACCCAAACCATTTGCTGCGTAAGAATTGTTAAACGCGAAAGACAGTCGCTGTCCGTGACGTCATCGACGGATCTTTTGGCTGCCCAAGACTAGGGAGGCGGGGCTTCAGCCCTATTTTGAAATTGCTCTTATAGCTCTCCGGTGCGTCGAAATGAAATATAATTGTGATATCTGTTATTCTAACGGCCAAATGAACACAATTCGAGTGTTTTTTTCTCAAATGCAGAACCGCCCCATCTTCCCTTTAATAGCTTGTACCCCTTTTTTTTAAATTTTTATTTGTCTTTTCTTATAAGGGGGGGGGGGGGGGGTGTAGAAGTGGGGGTTACCCAGTATCCGGGTTTTAGGTAAAGGTCTCTCATCGGGTACCCTCCTTGGGTAAAATTAAATTCTTCACATGTCACGGGTCGAGGGGTTGGCGCTTGCAGTTGGCAACATTGTAGGAATTATTTCCCCATAAAAGAATCTGTTTTGAATGTAAACTTGCATCTGTGTCCACACAAATGTTTAAAATATATTGTATGAAGTTGTATGTTTTTTTGGCTATTATTGTAGATTGACATGTGGCCCTTTTTGCGCTACATCTCATCGAAACTCGGCGGGTTAAATCTGCGTGCGCCTGGCAACCCTGTAATAGTTGAGGGGGGGTTGCTGTCGTCCCGTCTGTCTCACCTTGCGTTTGGGCGTCCCGTGCAGTTCCACCGTCGGAGCAACCCATTGGAGATGCCGCCAAGGAGCCCTCAGTCAATGGTACCTTCTTTTTTCTTTCATGCGCCTTAGCTTTCTCTTTTCGATATACGCCTTAGGTATGCGAATTGGAAGTCGACGAAAACGGCAAAGCGTGCAAGGTTCTTTGTGGCGAAACGGTGGTGTTTGCTGAGCAGTCGGCACGCAAATAAATGTAACTCGTTTAAAGAAGTGACCATCGTAGTGGTGCTTCTGTGGCGTCATCTATAAGAAAACCTAATTAGAAGAAAACTTGTAAAAAAGTTTTGTGAAGTGCAGATTGTTGGGCGAGTTAATACTGGGTATTCGAAAACACGGTAGCGCTAGGTTGCAACTGTTGGCCTCTGTTCAGTGTGCGTTCTGTTCTTGCCAGACGTAAGGACAAGACCGTAAGAGAGATAATCGAGGCAGACGCGATCAAAGAATGTTGCCTCCATAGACCCGATAGGTAAGGAGGTAGCGTTCTTGCGAGTGGAGGCAGGACCTGGGATTAGCCGAGGGTGCGACGATCACGGTGTATATATTTTTCCCAATTTACCACGATTAAACAGTTGAAGTCGGCACTTTGTGTTGTCCAATCGCCTAGTTCGTTCTCGTCTCAAGCGCTACCATGTTTTTGAAGGTGCTCATACATAACAAATCTTCAGCGTGGGTTACTACATGTATGTACCAGTCCACTTACAACCAACTCGCGATACAACAGACATGTTGAGAAAAAAACTGTGTGTTGCAACAGACACTCAAAGAAAAGACTGCAAGCACTCTTGAGGGCCTAGTCCTCAAGTCTGGAGAAAGCCTGGCAAAGTGGCGCGCGACCCCTGCAACGCCTCTCCCTTGCAGTGGACCTGTCTGCGGCCATCAGTTCGGAGGCGGTGCTCCAACCGCTGCTGAACAACCGGGAGCTGATGGCCCGCGTGGAAGCCCTCCTCCCGTCTGCCACCGAGTCGAGCTCGCGACCAGACGTAAGCGAACAGCTCAAGGACACCGTCAAATCCCCGCAGTTCCAGCAGGTACTACTGGCCGGTCCCCCTCCCCTGCCCTCCCACCCCGACCTTTGCACGCCCCCCCTTGGCTCACTTCCGCACTCTGAGAAGCGGCTTTGTCGTTCTTACGGCCGAGCGTCAGTTTACCGTTTTAGAAATAACTGGTGCCACCTGGCAAGAAACGGGGTTTGAGGATTCTGAGGACGAAACAATGCAAGCATTAGGAAGGAGGGGGAAGAAGCGTCTTAAAACGAACTTCGGGCCAAAAGGATAGGCCACAATAGGAACAAAATTGACCTTGAGAGAGCCTAATCTTGGTCATTGCAGCTCAATAGAGACAGCAGGATCTAGCTTTGTCTATTGTGTAAACACGCGCTCAAGCGAGTGCCTGTTCACGTATTTTTGCACCAGAACCTCCTGAATGGTGATTTCCTAAAATGGTCCCTTTGGAAATGCAAAGTACATCCATTGAGCCTTTCTTTTTCTTTTCTTAAAGCATATGCTACTGAGCTTTTATTTTGGAAATTATGCTAGCACTAACCGTGCCTCTGTCTGAATCTAAACTCTCGGGAATGGGGCCTGGATTTGCAATCTCAAAGTCCGTGGAACGCTCTAAACTGTGCTACTATACCCTGGTGCAGGATAAGAAAGGCAGTACAAGCATCTCCCATAAAGCCTTCCACTTTAACAGAACGAACGCTGGTGAGGAGGCGAGTGCACTCGCCTCTTCTCGGGCAGTCGCAGAACTAGTGAAAACGGTTTGGCTCCTCAAATGTCCATACAAGATACTCCGTGTTTGTACGATTCTAGCGCACACTTTTTTTTTACCAAAAGCGGTGCCCAAAACTACAAACGAAACCAAAAACCGATACTCAAGAAAAACGCAACTCGGTATAAGGTGACTAGCCCCATGGCCATCGTGACCGTTTGTTTACGTTCACCATTTTGGTATCCGTACCACGCGCATTCTCTCGTGCCAGCGGCCACACACATTTAAACGAAAGGCCATCACACTGGCGGAAAAAGATAATGGAGCAGCACTGCGTGGCCTCACAGTCCCAGCCATCGACGAGCTCGTAAAGTGTCGTTTGAAAGACGACCCAGCCAGAGGCGACGGCCGCGCACTTAGTACATGCGCTAAAAGCGTGGTACTTAAAATGCTTTAGACGAAAGTTAGTATTACCTCTGTGGACAGCAAAGAACCATGGTCGGACCCTGACAACGGCGACTAGTGCACGGCATTCATTTTTCTGTTGGCGTGCATTTCATAAAATCTGTTCTATGGCGATATGTGTTCAATCTTTATTATTTTACCTGCGCGATAGAATCGGCAGCAGTTTACTTTTTGATTATCTGGAAGCTAAATCTGCCTGCATGTTTGAATTGGGGGTGCGGCAGAATCGTGCAAACACGGTATATGGATGTTTGGTTTTTGTTTACCAAAATGCATAGACGTTTTGCAGCAGCCCTGCACGGGTGCCGCCACAACCGACCTTCAGTTTTTGTTCCCTCTTATTCCGCTTGCTTCACTTGATCATTAGCATAGCATGGCAGGTAATTGTCATTTTAGATTCTATTTTGTCCTTCTCCCCAGCATTGGCCTTTGTGGAGGCTCGTCAGTGCCCGCTTTAGTGGCTTGGTATCCGAGTAAGAATAAAATAGAATTGTTTATTTCAGACATACATGTGTCATAAATATGTCATACATATGTCTAGGACGAGAGAAGGTCAGCAGGGGTGGCTGTAATTTGGCACGTGCGTAGAGTGTCTACACGTTTCGAATGTAGAAAGCATAGTTTAGTTCTATAACAGCCAAACTTTGTGCAACGTATGACTACCGTGGAATACCATGCATCCGCCTAATTTACACTAAAAATCCGAAAAAATGTGCACAGTACATATACCATATTTTCCGGACTGTAAGTCGCACCCTTGTATAAGTCGCACATCCGTTTATTGAGCCGTTTTCGTGGAAACGTTGGTATATAAGTCTCAGCTTTGTATAAGTCGCACCTCTTTGCACGGTTCACGCTATGAGTCCCACAATCAAGAGATTGCACGTACTGTTTGACGCACATTTCAACTTGCGAGAAATGCCCATAGTACGGTGCTGTCTGGCAAGGGCAGTCGAGTGTTTCGCAGCAAAAGGACGTAATGAACAAAATGGAAGGGTAGTCGGCTTTATTCGAGGAAACGCATGCCGAGCGAACGAAAGTTTGAGGAGCCAGACACTTGCGAACCAAGCTTTGGAGCGTAGGTGTAGCCTAAGCCAAGTCCCGGAGACGACGCGAGCGGCGACGCGCAGGCAGAAAGATAAACATTGACATACTTTTTTTTTGGTACCTCTAAAAGTCTGGCTAGCCACAATCCTTCCTTTTAGATGTAGCAACACGGCTGGAGCACGGCACAAAAAAACTGCTCATCACACGGAAACTAAGAAAGAAGTGAGAAAATATTCTGCTATGGTGTGTATACCAGCCACTTACTTCTCAGTGTTACTGGACTGAAGCAAAAGAATACAAAACCATGGCTTAAATTGGGAACATCAATAACATGCTGTAAAAGGTTTAATTTCTCACTGTCTTGCCTATCCACATTGAGGCACTTCGGGGGAACCATAAAATTAAAATATCTTGCATTCCAAGTGAAAATAGTGTGGCGACAGCCGTGCCTCCTAGAGGGGGAAACACCACCTATGGCTACATAGTTATGGTGCTCTACAAAAGCTAGCACGTGGTGTATAAAAAAAAAGGCATCACACGTCGAAAAAGAAATCTTATACAAGTCGCACCAAAAAAAATGTTTGGAAAAAAACCGTGACTTATACACTGGAAAATATGGTATGTAAAATTGATGACCTCACATGTGCGCATCCCCTATTTTTTCACGATTACCTTCCAATTTTGAGTGGGCACTTGCTCAGTATTTTGTAATATGCTCAGAATGTGCTATTTTTTTTTTTTTTCTAAGTTACAACGAGCATAGTTTCGAAATTATTACCAACTGACTTGTGAGGTCTTGCACGTTTGTGTGTTAGTAATATCCGTTTGGTGTCCTGCCAGCAAAGAGGAAGGGCAATGGTGCTATTTTTAGAAGATCCAGTGACTTTCACTGGATCGTGAAAATAGCACCATTGCCTTTTCTTTTTGCTAGCAGGACACAAACAAGCGTGTGTGTGTGCTAGGGAGTGTGTACACCAGCCTTTAGCCTTTCCAACCGGCCCGGGCACCGTGCACGCAGGCCCTGAGCCTGTTCAGCGCGGCGCTCCAGTCCGGGCAGCTGGGCCCGCTGATGCAGCAGTTCGGCATGGAGCCCCAAGTAGTGAGCGCCGCCACGTCGGGAGGTGGGTACCGACAGCCGCCGGACGGGTCATGCCGTGGAACGAGTCTCCGACCGCCGCATTTACCGTGTCCTAAGAGGAGGCCCCTCGATCTCCGCCCGACGACTACGTCGAGGCGTCAAGCTGTCGTCGGTCCCGTTGTAGCTGCGGCGGTGGGTGTAGCAGACGCCCGTTCCACTGCAGCTGCTGTACGTCTCTCTCCAGCGCGGAAGTCCGCCAAAGCTTTGGCAGCCGGGAGTTGGAACTCCGCAACAACGGCGACGCTTGGATTCTCCGATACTTTTTACCAGTACTTCTAGCACTAACTTTGGGGTCGCAACGTCCGACGGCGTAATACTCCGGCTTCTGCGACGTCATTTGTTGCCGCGTCGGGACCAATTCCAGGTAGCATGCTAGTGTCGTGAGACTCGGTTAATCTTCGTGCACTCATTGACTTTCGGGAGACCAAAAGAGACCAAAACACGAGAGCCAATCGGATCAGTATCTTAGTGCCTGCTTGTATTTTCAATCGACATCTTGCAAGGTCGATCCATCCAATCAGTCGGGTACGATGGACAGACCTGTGATAGCGGCATCTTTGCTCGTCCGCAGATATGGAGGCCTTTGTGAAAGCGCTCCAGTCGTCCAAGGTCTCTCTGGAAGACAAGGGACAGAAGAAGGACGATGCCGGGGACGAAGACATGGGCCTCGACTGAGTCCCAGCACGGATGCACCGCTTACTCGCGACACCCCCCTCCGAAGTTGACGAAAGATTGGAACTAATGCTGCAGCGAATAAATTCCGAGCAGTTTTCAGCTTCATCCAACGTGATCTGTCGGGTTTCTGCAATGCGGAATGGTGCTGGCTTCACCTTTCCGCCCGTCTGCAGACGTCCCACAAACGTCTCCAGTCGAATGTCCTGGGAACATCGGCGACTTGGAAGCCATCGCGGTACGAGAGGGCTTGAATTTGACATGTTGTTAGGTTGCAGTCGGGCAGGAAGGTGAAGCCTTCACGCCCTACTGCTTATTGTCTTTTCACATGTTCTTGCTCATTGTTGTTTCATGTGGGGCACATTCAGGGCTGTAAAAGTTACTCCAAACAATGTACCTCGGACAGTGGCAGTTGTTTCCGCTGAAATGTACTGGAGGTATGTGTCTGGACATTCTAGAATTTACCCGACAGAGTTACGTGGGTGTAGGACAGCATGGGGGTGGAAAAGAGATGCACCTGAGCGGCGGAGTTGTTTTGACACCTCTCTCACAGTGGCTTGGGATCTTCAGACTTGGGAAGGGAGGCCTTAGACTCCTGGTTGCTTGTAATCTAGAACCCTCTTGTGCTGGTGTGAACCTTTTCTTGTTTTGCTGGAGATTACAAAATGGTGCCTTGTATTCCATGTTACTGCAAAGAGAGGCTTGAAAGGGCAAGCTTCTGTTGCACGACCGAGCACGCAAGATACACACCCTCCAAGACTTTGACCTCATGCCTGTGGCCTTTGCTGTGTTCCAGCCTCCAAGCCAAGGTATCCGAGATTGCCGTATGGAGCACCTCGACGGAAACTAATTCCGGTCTTTACCACAATGCTCGAGATGGTTGGATTTCGCAGCCCATAGTTGTAAGTTGACTAGGTGGCGCAAGCTAGCACCCCACTTCATTGCATGAGGGAGGGATGGTTCTGTCAAATCTACAAGGTGCTGTGAGCAGCACAGAAATAGCGTCGTAGCGTTCTTAAGATTCCTATTGCGCAGCGGAGCGATAAGAGGACGAGAGTAACTCCCGATGGTTGCAAGTAAACCTGTGCGCCGGTCAGAAATCGCCGGCGGCGGCGCGCCGGTGTTTGTACCTCCGGCGGCGGGCCGGTGTTTGTACCTCCGGCGGCGGCGTGTTGACGGCGCGGGGATCAATCAACGGACCGGCGGCGGCGTGGCTGGCGTGGCGGGGAAGAGAGAAGGGAGGGGGGGGTGTAAATTAGAGAGTGAGGAGGAGAGAGAAAGGAGTCGTTTGAATTTGGAAAACAACATGCAAATACCATAAAAAAGAACACACTTTTTATTTTATTTTTTTCTGTGAAGAGTGCGTCCGTTAGAAGAATGAGAAGAATCAGGTACTTCGGCGTCTTGTTTATTCTCGTTTGTAAGAAAATATGTCGCCGGCTGGCAGCCGCGGCGCAAGATTCCCGCAAGATGATGACCGACGACAACAGGTATTTTATCACCGCGTTCCACCTCACCATGCGCTTGTCGCACGCCCCGTGCCTAACAAGTACTCTGATTCGATACCCCGCAAGCAGTCATCACCGACAACGACAGGAACCTCTCGTTCGGCGAAGCTAACGGCTTTGTCGAACGCGCCAACAGAAAAATCCTTCCATGTCTGCGCGAAAGAACGTCAACGGCGACATCGACCATTGGAGCGATTATCTCCAGGCAACCAGCTTTCAAGTGAACCAGCAGCCGTACGCCGGACTCCAGACATCACCGTTCGAACTCCTGTTCAACTTTGTCCCACGTCGACCAATGGAAGTTTCCCCGCAGGTCGGCGACGTCCGTGCGAACTGCGACTGCAAACGCGAACCTCGCTTACCTTCAAGCCATGAAGCGTTCCTACGATGCAAAATATCGACCAGCTCCATACAGGGTCAGGGACAGGGTATATGGTACAGGAACGGCGTTCCTTCCTCGAAACTTGGCTTTTCCACGCGAATATAGCTCTTTTGTATTAAATTGTTTCACAAAGATTTCATTAAATCGTTTTGCGGTCCACAAGACCGTTCATTCCGTTAAAACACTTTAAAAACACAGGCGAGCTGGTGAAGAACTTCCATAGTAACGGGAGACACGAAACGATAAAAATAACGCACAAGACAACAAGTCTCAAATACAGCTTTTATACCCGTTTTCACGTCAGGAACTCTAGTAAAAAGAGTCCGACTCCTTGCGAACCATTACTAATTTCCACCTTTATGTGCAGAATTAAGGTAGCTGGATTCTACTATATATATGTTATCAAGACGTACACGTTCCAGCGCCAAAATCATCGCTTTTTTCTCCGACAACCAAATCTCCTAAGACTTTGCGTCGAGTATACGAACATCTTTGTTTCATGTATGTGCTCTCCCCCTCTGTAATGCCTTCGGGCCCTGAGGGTACTTTAATAAATAAATAAATAAACGCTCAAAACTTTTTTTCTTGAAAAAACGGGTATAGTTTATTTGAACAAGGAACGCTCTTATATATACGTCAAGGCCCTCACCACCAAAAAAGAACTCTTTAAAAAAAAGGGTATCACTATACACCCTTTTGTCCCACATAACGTACCCCAAAACTTTAGTTTGACGCACAGCGCACAGAGGGCCACAGATTTTACAAGGGGCTTGATAACGACGCGATATAAGTGATTAAATAGCTAAAGTACGTACCAAAGACCACAGAAAGAAAAGACTGATGTTTCGCAGCAGGGCCAAGAAAACCCCGATTATTATTATTATTTTTTTTTCCTGTACTCTCGTGAAAGTTAGTACTGTCAGATCGACGTCTGAAGTTTTGGGGTGTCTTATATAGGACAGGGTGTAAGAATACACCCCTTTTCTTTAGAAAAAGTAGGTCACTGAAAGCCGGACATTCAGGCAGATCCAAATGATTCGTGGTCACACCAACCTGCCACCCAGACGACCCCGCTTGATGACCAACCAGCCATATATGCGATAACAGGCAACTCCATCAGAACCCTTACTAATATGATACACGCGTGACGAGATGTCCCTACAGCGTGCAATTCGCTTAAAAAGTGTCGATGAAACGATCGTGTCGACAAAACGTGTGTCTGTGAAACGTGTGCCCATGAAATCAAACGAGTTTCGACGAAATGAGAGGGTCCCGTACACCACTCCTGCCTGAGAAGTTACATCTGGGTTTTTATGTTGTTGTTTTTTTCTGGCGCCCCTGGAGACCACCAGAAAGGGGGTTGACCTTTCTAATTTGTGCTGAGCTTTGAAAACTAAATTTACACCGAACCTATCCGCCACTGATATAAAGTTATGAGAGATTCCATGGTAGTAAGGCACACACACAACATTCTTCACAACCGGTTTTTCCACAGGAGCCGGATTAAACCTTCAGCACCTTGAGCACAACTGTAACAATTACATCATGGTGACGGCCCGCGCTTCCAAAGGACGCATCTTTTGCAATTCAACTGCCTCACCAACCCAAAACATACGGGATTCTTTACAAGCGTTATCCATCGCAGACGCAATTACACCATGCACTCTTAACTATTTTGAAGTGACAGCTCTCAGCTGCCAACAGAGGCTTGGCTGATTCATTGCCGTACGTCCAGCACAGGCCCTTTTCCGTGTGCAACAGTAGGTCTATAAGTACCTAATTCGACTGTTGCGATGGCAGGGCTGTGCGGTCCAATCGACAAGGACCGCACAACCGTGTCAACGTGTACATAAGTCTCGTTTAAAAAAAAAAAAAAAATCTCGGACAACACTGGAGCAATTTACGACCCGATACACACACCCTGTTTTTGAATAAAAAGAGAACCATCAAAGTCTACGGCAGTGGACTCTAAATGAAACTCCAGAATGCTGATAAAACTATCTACATCAATCCCATTGGCAGACTGCAACTTCACTAGATTATCATCGCACGACCTCCTGATTCTTATTAACAGCTCCGACTCAGAGCCTTTTATACTGGGAGAGTTCGGCGGTTCTTTGATCCAGCCGCCAGTCTGGCAGCACTGATCAAACAGTCTGGCAACTGTGCGCATCCGCCATGATGTGCCTTGCCGTCTAGCTTGATTGCACCTTTGCATTTAATTGCATTATAATTATAACCTTAAATTGCAAGCTTCACCCTTATTGGTGCAAGGCTGGTGGCGGCTGATAAAACCCGTTTGCCCTACTGACTCGAGCCGGCAGTCGGCTCACTAGAGTCCATGGAGCGAGAGACGACGATGAAAATAATCGTTCTGCGCTGCGCTCTGCCAGACGTTAGAAGAAAAAGAAATGGGGGGCTGCACTGCCGTTGGGTGCTCGAACAACGCGAAAAAGGGGTTCAGGATGTACCGGTTCCCGCAAGGAAAAGAAAACCGCGCAAGGCACAAGATCTGGGAAACCAAACCAAGAAGGGCTGACTGGAAGCCGAGTTCTCGATTGTGCGAGGTAAGCTTATGATTAACGTATGATTAACGTAACAAAATGCTTGATTTTTCGACTTTCTCCTTACGCCAACAAAAGCGCAAACGGCAAAAGCTACACGCGTATACATCGCATGTCAATGGGGACCCACTCGCCGGGAGGCACATCATGGCGGAAGCGGCGCCCGCTGAGTCCGCTAAACCTAGCGGGCCGTAAGCCCCTCCCACCCGCCGAACTCTCCCAGTATAAAAGGCTCTGCTCCGACTAACATAAGTCCTTGATGTCTACAGTTGTCACATCGCACCTTCTCCCATGATGCGGATTCATTATTTCAATCAATTGCTCAGAGTTTTTCAGTGACAATGGGCTGTTGCTCCACTCCTGTCAGGCATTCCTAGATAAAAAACCGACAACACATTCTGCCAAGCTCAATTTTCGTTCACAACCATTTGAACAATTACACCAGGATGGGATTGTTACAGTTGTGCTCAAGGTGTAAGGAACGTACGTTTAATCCGGCTCCTGTGGAAAAAAAAACAAAAAAAAAAAAAAAAAAAAAAAACGGTTGTAAGGAACGTTGTGTGTGTGTGCCTAGCGAGAACAGTGGAAGAAGCAAATAATGGTTTGCACCTGCAGTCATGCGTGGTTTCAATTGACTTTGCAGAAAAAGAGATA